TGTTCCGAGACTGACCAGACAAAATGACTGACTATTGTAACCTCAACTGGCTCGCCAAATCTCGCAACGAAATTTTTCTTTGAGATCACTTCTGAATTGTTTTCTCTACGACTGATGTTAGGCATCAATGCATTCTTACAGTACCATGCCAGAGATGACTGCTCACTCTCTCTCTCTCTCTCTCTCTCTCCCTCTCTCTCTCTTTCGAGCGTTGCCTTGTTGCTGATTTCCATTAACTCTTTCAGGTTGGCACGGTTTATGGAGGACTAACGGTCTCTCATCATTAGCTTTGATGTGCTACATGTGCTCAGCAAAGATTTTCTAGTTTCTTCATCAAATGAGCTCCTTCTATTTTTGTTTAGATTGTAATTTAAGCATGCAAAGGACACTGATTACAGTTCACAAGATCGGTGAAGAACACAAACGTTTCGCTGCGAATTTTATTCGAACTTTAAATTTTAACAAAAAAAGTATAAATGAGCTATATCTACAATAAAAAAAAGGATTCCCGTTTCACGTTTACGTTAGTTTTTCTTAAAATGAGTCAAGTCAGCACAAAAACACACACACACACTGATTTTTATCAACAACGCTCAACAAAGTAACACACGATAAAAACAAAACAGTTCCTATAGGTAAAAGTAACCTCTCGTCTCAGTAGCAAAACACTGCCCTAATATTATCAAACTTCTGCAAGGTGTAAAATAATTTGTTTCAAAAAGCCGTTATGTTTTTGTGTAAATAATATTAAAACCTAAGGTAGTTGCAATGGTCCAAATAAAGGTAATTCAGAATAGTCGTCTTCGCAAGTGAATGTTTTGTTGTTATCGCACTCAACTAGGTCTTGTTTTTTTTTCTTGCGATTGCCTAAATAGTCCTACTGAAATACTCAAGGCAACCTCTAATCGAAAAACCAAATAACAATTTCTTCCAAGCAAAAGCTCTCCCACACACAGATGGAGGGAGCAATCAATATCCTTCGCAATTGAGTGTTTCGCATATATTAGACTCATTGCGGTCTTCCTCTAAGTGACATACTTCCCCATATACTCTGTTAGATAGTTCAACCTGAAAACCATAAAAATCCAAAACTTAAACTCAGATAATATACTACACCCTAAGTAGAGTCCAAAGTTAATTGCGAGTATCCGGGTCAACTTATTCTTAATATGCTTTCTCAGAGGGTATTCAACCTTCCAATTTGATTCTCACATTTCTCAGGGGCTTTGCGTTTCAAACGGAGGAGTTTAATTTTTCCTGCGTTGTGGCATTTTTTTGAGGGTTCTTACAAATTAAAATAAGGTAAAATAATTAAATATAACTTAATATAAAATAATTTATTATAATATCTCAAATAATGTAAAATAATATTTAAAAAACAGAAAAATTTTGAAAAAAAAAATAACTTAAAATAATGTAATATATTATTATATAATAAAATATAATTTAATATACTATAATTAAATATCAAATAATCTTTTATAATATACTATAAATTAATATAATATAAAATAAAACAAAAACATATAATATAATATGAGACAATATAATAAAAAATAATATAATATAATAAAATATAACATAACATATTTTTAAAAAATAAGCTATAACATAAAGTAATATAAAACAAAATAAAATAATATAATATAATAAATTGTAATATAAAATAATACAATATAATATAATATAATATAATATAATATAATATAATATAATATAATATAATATAATATAATTTAATACAAAATAATAAACTTGTAGATGATGTGTTTTTCAACTTGGGAAATTGTAAAACGGAAGCTATTTGTCGGAATTTTTGTAGCTTGCATACTTTTTTTTAATCTTTGGAAATGCTCTGCTAGTTTTGCATACTGATTTACATCAATCGTATGTTGACTTCAATTACTGTGCAGAGAGGCTCCTCTTTTCAGCACTTTCCAGATCTTCGTGGAGTTTTTGAGTTCTATGATACTACCATAAAACAGTTTACCCTTAACCTCAAATTTGGCAGCGTAGTTCTCCAAAAAAAAACTCCTAACAAACGGTCAACATTGCAAAACTTGGACTTTTTTCGCAGGAAACCAAAAAGGACTTCTATAAAAACAAAATCAGGCGCAGTCGAAATCAGAGCGAAAAAAAAACCTAAATTTTTAAATTCAATTCTTACACACAGATTTTGCAGGGTAGTTTCTAACAAATTCAGCTACCCTTTATCTCAGATTTGGCAAACTATTTTCAAGGAAAAATCGAAGTTTCCATAAAATTGGTCGAAACTTCAAAATTAGACAATTCATAAATCTGTAGTTCTTTTCCAAAAAATAAGGGCGTAGCCGTTTTCATCTACACAAGCAGGAATTCTAACACCGTTTCTTGCGATTGAGCGTCTGACCTCGGCTCGATAGATTTCGAGAAAAAAATAGTTGCGAAGAAACGATCAGCAGTTCATAATTTGGGCATTTTCTAAAGCCATTAATATTTTCTGCGAAAACAAGGCGGAGCAGTTTATGCAGGTGAGATTCCAGTAATTTTTTCATTTGTTTGAAGTCTTTGAGGATTTCAGATTGGGTAGTTTTGAGAAAATGAAAAAAAAATCCAACAAATGTGTCAAGAATCCCACCAATTCAAGTTTCGAATGCCGGGTGAATCGGTAAAAAGACTAGCAAAATTTAAGGCACACAGAGATTTAAACGGTCTTTGAACCGGTTTTATGAAAATAATAGTGCCACCAAAAATAGCACCAATATTTGCTACTTGGGTTAGAAAAAAAGTGGACTGCGTATTTAGACCCTACGCTCCCATTTTAATAAGCTGACTTTAGTCCAAAAACATAGCCAGCAGATAGTTGGAAAAGAGTCAATACAGGCGATACAGAAGACTGGCGGACTACGTTGGTCTGCGTACCTGCACACTGCTGTATCGAAGGAAACGAAGGAGCAACCAGCCTCGATTAGACTGAACGGCCTCTTACTCTCAACCCACCCAAATCAATCATACGAAAAGAAGGCAGAAATCTAGACGCGAAAAACGTAGGCGAATGGAGAAAAATCATGAAGACGAGACCGAAAAATATGAGGAGATTTCAAGAAGTAAACTGGAATCAACTACGCACAGGACACTCATCAATGGCCAGAGCAGACCTTGCGAGATCCGGCATTATTGATGACCCAAGTTGTCTCGATTGCGGCGAAACAGATACAGATAATCACATATTCACGTGCCAAAAAGGAGACAGGCTCAAACAACTCACAAGAGACGCGAACAAAACCGAACAATTATTCAGAAACTCCGGAAAACTTTTTACCTACCTACGACGGATGGAACGTTTCAATATTAGTGCAGAGCACTAGAAAGACCTCCTGAAAGAAGAAAAGAGTCAATGAACGCAATTCAACTTTCAAAAATGGATTGCCTTGAAACTCTTTGAATTTCTAGCACCATTTATAATTGACACTTTTTTGATAAACTAACCCAATTTGAGAAAACTGGCTCAATATGTAAAACATTTATTTCGCTGAAAAATCTGAAAATTAAAATCCATTTTCGAAACTAGAAGTCGATCACGTTTTTCGTGACCTTCTCTTTCGCAGTTTGGTAGTGGAGTTTGGGGAGGTTTCTCATGCTGGAGGGACCGAAAGCTGGAAAAATTTCAACCAATCAAAATCTTTGAACGTTCCTATTGGCTTAAGGCCTTTCTCACAAAATCGAAGTCAATATTAACAGAAAATTTTAATACAGTGCTGATTTAAATCAACCGGACAAAACGAGCTAAGCTTGAAATTTAAAACGCGTTTTTCTCAAATTGGGTTGAGTTTAGGCGAAAGCTTATGAAGACAAAACTTGCTTAAATTTTTAGCAGAATTGATATGGTGTAAATTGTTTAGCGAAATTCAGGTCAAAAATTTTACCCCAAAAATGGGTCATTTTGGCTTTTCTTAGTTAATCAAAAATTACGCCGAAAATACCCAGTCGATCACAGACATATTTATATCAAAGTGAGCCCCTTACGTAGCCCAACTCATTTTAACCAGGGTATAATCTCCAAAAAAAAATTGCAAATTATTTAAAAATTGTTTTTAAAAAAAAAGTTGGTATTTTATACAGTAAAAACGACCTTTTTTGTCTATCAAACAAAAATAAATTAACTTATACAATATTTTGGAGATTATACCTTCTTAAAGTTTGTTGGGCTACGTAAGGGGCTCACTTTGATATAAATATGTCTGTGATCGACTGGGTATTTGTGTGATCGACTGGGCGTAATTTTTGATTAACTAAGAAAAGCCAAAATGACCCATTTTTGGGGTAAAATTTTCGGCCTGAATTTCGTTAAACAAATAACACCATATTAATTCTGCTAAAAATTTAAATAAGTTTTGTCTCCATAAGCTTTCGCCTAAACTCAACCCAATTTGGAAAAAACTTGTTTTAAATTTCAAGTTTAACGCTTTCGTCCGGTTAATTTAAATCAGCACTGTATTGTAAGTATAATAGATGCAGATATAACAGCTGCAGATATAAAAAATTTAGTTATTTGTTTTTCCGTTCTTGTAAATTGGGGTTCTTAAAACATTAAATTTGTTCCAATCCGCCTTTGATCCGGCATTATTTTCATTCATCTGCTTATTATCTAATCGGGAAATATTAACAATAATGGCCTCGAATTACTTGCTTACTTAGCGATTTTCGCAATTTCCCTGAGTTTTTTGAATACTGTTGTATTGGCGGAAAATAAGCCAAAATAAATGTCAAGCATTTGGTCCCTCCAGCATGAGGGACGCCACCGTGGAGTTTGCCTTCCTATTAACAAAGGAAATGAACTGAACTTGAAACCAAATCAAAAGTCAAACCGCGAAAAACTAAATTTGAGCCTGAACAAACTATAAGACTTTTCTTGAAAAACAGATCATCACGACCTATATAAGAGTCTGAACTACGTTCATCGACCCTTGAAAACCTTCCTCAATAGTTGTCGTCACTACGTTCAGTTACACTTGAACACATTTCGGATATATTGAATTGGAATCACCTATATAAAGCAATTCGGAAATCATAAACATAGTTACATCAATATTAACATTCTATATAAGATTTCATTTGTAGAATTTTAAATTAAATTCAAAAATTGTTGACCTTATTAACTGCACAAATAATAGCATAATAATCTGAAAGAAACCCCAGAACATTCAACAAAATATAACATTTTAAACATATTTACATTACTTTGTTGTAACATATTAATTCATGTACTATGGAATGATGATAGTTCTATAACGTATTCTACACCATTTTTAAGCTGAAACTCAAGCTAGAAAACACCAAGATGCTAAAACATGAAACAGCATCAAAATATGGGATGATTTCTCTACTAGCTACTTAGTAGTTTACATAAAGCATCCGTTTTTTTATTTGCTTTCACACAAGTTCAGTTCGAGCTCGGAGTTCTAAACGAAGTTGTATATGCGTGAAATTCTGTTCATGTAGTCGAAAACTGCCTGTCTGACGAGGGGGTTGGTCACGTGACACATGAGCTGGTTGATGACAGGGAAAGTAACTGGGAGGAGGTCTTTGAAGAGGGGATCGCTGGGAAACTGAATGAGTTGGATCATGCCGGTGATCATCTCAGTCCATGCCTGGATCTTAGCATCCGAATCTCTGATAATGGAACTCTTCTGCTGCAAAGAGATCTCCATCTGAACACGCCACAGATAAAAGTTAATATCAATAATCACCAAAAAAAAATTTCCTGCGTCATTTAATCAAGTAAAATTAATAAACATAGCCAACATCAAGTTGGACACAGAAGCGACAAAACGACAACAAAACAGCTCCATAAATAGAAAGAAGGTGAAAATAAGCTTAGAAAATTAAGTTTGTTGCTATGCCTGAAGATCCTACGACTTGGAGATTTAGCACATCTGCTAAACAAGCCCTTGACAATTTACCAACACTAGCCACAAATGAAGCATGCTAATAAATTGTAAATGCGATGCAGCAAAAGTGGCATTAAATACTTATCGAAACAAATTTGCATGTAATAATTTAGAATAAAAACAAACTGGAGGCATCCACACTAACTTTGCATGTAATAAAGCATTCAGCCAAACTATGTATAAAATATGCATTTCAAAAAAATTGCGCAATATGTTGAGCTTGAAAAAATGTGAAATAGGTTTTTTTTCTGTGCTTTGATACAAATAGCTTTTTTCGGTTCATATGATCAATTTAAAAAAAGCATCAACTGTGTTGACTTATTACTACTAATCGAATGTCAAGGTACATGCTATCCAAAAGCCGTAAAGATGCCACCAAAAGTGGCACTAATATTTGCTACATAGGTTGGAAAAAAATAGTCTTACTATTGCACTATGCTCGCTAAACCTCGCAAGTGTAAAAAGTGTCAATGAACGCAAGAAAACCGAACGCAATGACTGACTTGAATTTCAAGTTTCAAAAAAAAGTTATATGGTCGTTAAACCTCTGAAATTCAGAAATAATTTATGATTGACACTTTTTTGATTAAATTATCCTAATGAGAGAAAACTGGATCAATACTTTTTTGTCTCGCTGATAATTCAATAAACTAAAAATCATTGATGTTTATCATGACCTTTACGCTTCCTGCTGTTCGATAGTGTAGCTTGCCATCCTTTTAACACACTAAATGAACTGAACGTGAAAAAATCGAAGTCAGACCAAAGCACTAAAAAAAACTAAAGAGTTTTCCTGTATCAATAAATCAACTCGACTAGTGGGCGGATCTAGGACTTTCTCGAGGGGGATGAGGGCAGATTTTCAAAAAAATTCGAAAATTTTGTCGACCTTTTTTTTGGTCGACCAAATTGATTTTCCGAGCTCTGCCAAATCACTATAAAACAGGTTTTTAGGAAATTTTTGAAAAATTTTACCAAAAAAATCGCATTTTTTTGCCGCGCGCTGCCCCCTCAAAATTAGTATATTTTGGTGCCAAAGTCGCCTTAAGAAAAACTTTAGAGTCAGTGAGCCAAAAATGAATACCTCAGAATAATACAAAGAGGGACCTTTTGTCTCGGCAGGGGGTCAAATCGCTGAGGGGGGTCCCTCCTAAATCCGCTGGTGAATTCGACCTATATAATTGTCTTCACCACATTCATTAACACTTAACAAAAAAAAAACAATTTTGTTAGTTTTTAAACGGTTTAATTTTGATTTTCATTTCGAGCTATATTTTTAAATTCAATTAGTTCTTAGGATTAATAAATGTCAACAAACAAAATCAAGCCGGGTAAATTGCGTTAAGAGGCGCTTATCTCGAAATAAATCCCTTCGAAAGATTGCCAACGCACATGTTTCCAATCATGCAGTCATGTTAACAGAATGATATCAATAAGCTTGATTAGATGTTCAGTTCTCTGGCTTTGTTGGTTAGTATAATGAGCAATCTTTTGTCATTGAAACTCATGAGCTAAAATTTGCAAATAAGTACTGACCAAGGTATCGTCAAGATCATCCTGAAACCACCAAACTATTCTTAAATTATAAACTCCTAGCCAGATATATTCCTCGTCTATGAGAAACAAATTTGAGTGCAGGACCATTCAATTTCTAATGATGCTTTCACGTACTTCAATAGGGAGCTTTTCTCATTTTTGAAATCTTGAAGGTTTTGCTGCCTCCTTTGTTTGCTACCAGCACTCATTAGAAGAAGTAACTGGTTGTTGCAAATCAAGCAAAGAATGTCCTGACCACAGTAATTCATATGATACATCATTTTAATGATAATAAGTTTAATCAATTGGTAAGGCTGGCATGCTACAAGACTTGACACAACATACTATTAACTATCTATGCACCTGTTGGTAGTTGTCGTCCGCAGACTTGTTGGGGTCGTATGCCGGATCCTTCATCTCCTGGAAAGGCTTCCTCACAAATACAGAGCGCGAATGTTGCACTTTCCTCTTTTTGTACTCCTTTAGAAAATATGCAATTAGTAACATCAAAAGCAAAAAGTATCTAACTTAGAAGACTTTTGGTTGTGAGATATAACTTTTCGTTGTCCTTTGAGCACTCTCTCCTTGGAGCACGATCTCAAAAGTCAAGATAAAGTTTGCCTCAATAGGGTTTAAATTATGTCCCATTTCCCACCGATTACTTAACAACTCATATTGATGAGGTTAGTATATGACAACGATCTCGAAATTGTTTGATGGTAAATCATTCTTTCTTCCAGTTTGGAGGAATCTGAGTTTTAAGAGCTGCAATTTTGACAGCAGAATATGTAGTTTTTCAAAAGATATAGTCAAATACAAAACAATACCTTCATCATGTTCTTGATGGTCTTGTTTGTGGCCACAGTGTACATCTTGGTCGAGTCCTCGTAGAAGTCCCCTGCGGATCCCTCGACAGACGACATTCCCACTGGCAAGGTACCCCATTCCATAGACTCCTTCTTGTTCGGCGCCCTGATTTCCATAGGCTCATCTTCCTCATTTATTGTCGGCTCGCTCGTGAAATCTCTGCAATGAACCGTGTAAAACGTCTTCATAAGAGGCCAAAATCGGTAGGAAAAAACCTTCCAAATGAAAAAAACTAACAAATTGGTAAAATTGAAACCGTTTTGCTCAAGATTCACACAAAAAACTACGGCATTACTAGCCTTTAAAAACAGCAGTGAACTTAAACTAGAGTTTGAAGTACTAACTTGAAGAGGAAAGACTTCTTGTGTTTCGGGAGGTTAGATTCGTCTGGGATCAAGAGGAACAGAGGCTGACTCGAGATCCTCTCCAAGTCCAGATCTCCTTGTTTGTCCAGATGCATCTACAAAAAATTATATTGCCTACATCTAGTTAAACTGAGGACTAACAAACTGCTAATTATCTTTAATAGAATTAAAACAACTGGAATTTCTTTAATAGCAAGTGGAAGATTGTTATTTTTGCGTCTCAGATACCCGATCAGCCTCACCTGCACATATGATGCGGATATCTCTGCACACATTGCGTACATTCGTTTTACAATCCACTCCATACCTGAAGACACGCCCACACAATGACCCCCTCCTCCCCCACTGGATAGACTAGTCTTACTATCCGACACACTCTCAGTTCCCCCTACTCCACCTTCCGTCTCCTCGGCAGGGGCGAAACTGAGCTCGGGTGCCGGCTGTTGTCCCGAAGACGCCGTCTCCTGTAGACGTTTCAACCTCTCCATCATATCCATTCTATTCTCCTGAGGAGACTTTTTGGAGCCCCTTTGCTTTGTCTGACCTTCACTTTGGTTATTAAAGGTGAAATTGGTGGGCGATAGGAGGTCTGGAGTAGCGCTAGAGTTGTCGCTGAGTTCACTGATTGACAAACGTTCTGATAGCTCGAACTGGATCGAAGATGTGGGAAGATAGTTAAGAAGGGGTTCCAGCTTCAACGTAGCTCTGAAAATATCCATGTGTCACTATTTTGCAGCTTAATTTTACATTTTTAAGCATAATAATGTTTGACAAAAATCTCCATTGGGAAAGAACACAAGTTTCCAAACATTTTAATAAATGAAAAAACAGTAAGATAGAACTTTTGAGTCCAGTTTTGTAAAAATGAGTTTCTTTGTCAACTCACTTGATGAAGTTCTGGGGCAGTTTGTCTGCGGATCTGATACACATCTCAGTAAGTACATGCATGTAGAAGGTGAAGCTAGCGCCCACTTGTCTGTAGAGATTGGCTGCCACCTCTATCTTGGCCACCTTTTGGATAAGGAACTTCAGTCCTGGTCTGACATCGAAGTCCGCCGCCATCTTGTAGGAGTCAAGCAGACATTCCAAAAGAATGTTCACCTGCTTCTTGTTCAGTTTATCCAGAAACACTGCAATGCATAAACAGCAACTGTATGAACTATCAAAAATCAAATTACATTTTCAATCGAGCAGAAAGACATCCACCACTCATTCAGATTTTAAAAAAACATCGTTCACAGCTGAACCATCTCTATGAGGATTGCAGAACCACAAAACTCGCCAGTCTAAAGCCTTGGCATCAAATGGCATCTTTAGGGTGTAGGTAGAGAGTAATAGTGAATTTCAATTCCTAAACCAGAAAACATTCTTAAAAAAATTACCAGGAAGTTTGCTGTGTTGGGCCGAGCCGCCTTCCTTTCTCTTTCCTCCCGATATCTGATTGGCTTCATCGATCGGCAACAGATTCTGCTCCGTCTCCGTAGCTTCACTTTTAGAGCCCGACAGAAGCAACAATCCCAGTGTCTGTAACAACAGCTGGTGAGACACCAATCCCACAACAATGTTTCTGAATGGCACCCTGAGAGTTGACTGGGAGGAGTCGTTGAGGTTAGTCGACGAAGCTACTTTTGAAGAGTCCGCTGTATTAGAAGAGTCATTGGGTGGGTAGATGATGAATACGAATGACCTGGTCTCATCTGCTTCTGGTTCCAGTTGAGTTGGAGTATTGCACGCGGCTAGATTGGCATACTGCGAATCCAAAAGGAAAACCTAAGCAGACACATAACGACGAATGAACCCCTCGGTCTTAATTTCATAGATGATTTTCGCCATCATAGTCAACGCTAGCTTTCGATTGATAATGCTCATATCCCTCATTTTTATTACCTTTTTAACAGCAAACACTTCTTATAGTCACCTGTTTTGCCAACTGTTGGAGCCTCTCACATTCCATCTCAGAGCAATCCCTCCTTGCCGCCACTTTCACCACCCCAATGTCCCCATTGAAGTCAATCGAACCTGGATTGAAATGCTCCATGAGTTTCTTCGCAAAACACAGTGATATGTTAACAGCCTGGCGCAGTCCATTGCAAGATATGGACCACATCTGCTCTGTGAAGTTTGGTCCAGAGGACACCAGCAGATGCTTGATGCAGGAGCAGCCCAGTCTAGCTACTGATTCATTAGGCTGTCCGACACATTCCACCAACAGGTCCAGCAGTTGAGTCAACATCAATGGAACGTGGGTCAAAGGAATTTTATTCTGCACGAACTAAAAAAAACCTCCTCTAGCTTTTAAACCCTATTTTATTCCTACTCATGGTAGCTCACGCGCTCAAAACGCAATTTTTTCATGTGTCGACAAAGAGGACATTCTTTTAAACACATTCTTAAATTCTTAAGCAAACAACGCAATTAAATTTAAAAAAACTGACTTGTCAAAAAAATTTCAAAGAAAAAAATCGATGCCCTTTCGAATTTCTAAGAAAAAAATAGCTGCCTTTAAAGCTCTTTGATTTTCTAGAACAATTTATTCTTGAAACTTTTTCAATAAAATTATCCCAATTTGAGAAACATGGGTCAATATTTAAATATTTTATTTCGCTGGGAAATCTGAAAAATAAAAACCATTTTCGAAACTAAAAGTCCACCAAGTTCTTCGTGACCTTTAAACTTTCGCTGTTCGATAGTGAAGTTTGCCTTCCTTTCAAGTAATGAAATGAAATAAATTTAAAAGTTAAAAGTCAAAACGCCAAAAATTAAACTTGAGCTTGCAAATTTTGAGACTTTTCTTGAAAATAAAGCAAAAAAACTCATCGCGACCTATATAAGAGTCTGAACTACAACCATCGACTCTTAATAACTTAATAACATTGCACATTCAAAGGCTTTTCGATTAGGCAACTAACATGATTGATATGGTCGACAACTAGATCTGTTGATAGTCCCGTGGCATGTCTAAAGTTAGCCACCGCCGTCTCCCAGAAACCCCGCACACAAGATCCCCTCCTGAGCCACGAATGCAACATAGGCAACAGCAGATGAGTCACTGCAAACACTGCAAACTCTGGCCCTGGAATTTCTGTCGCTGCTTTGAGCAACTCAAACAGCAATCCCAATGTCTGTGGCTGGTACTCTTTAGGACAAGTAGTCACCGCACCAGTCAGGCCTTCCAGCAACAGATACCACACGCGAACAATACCTAAACAAGATTGCACCTCGAGTCTTTATCGGCATCTTTAAAATATTCACAAAAGCGAATCAAAGTTTATCACAACTTGCTGTACAAAAAAGGAAATAGATTAGGAAACAGGGAACAGTTTTCAAAACGAAAAAAAGGCCGATTCCTGTGTAAATAGCAAAAACTGTTCCGAAAAGATCATCTATCCACCATAAAAAACTTTTCTATCCAACACAGGGGCGGATCTAGGATTTTCTCGAGCGGGGGGCGGATTTTCAAAAAATTTTGTCGACCTGTTTTTTTTAGGTTGACCAAATTGATTTTCCGAGCTCTCCTGAAGCACTAAAAAGTCCCCCAAACCCCCCCCCCCCCCCAAATCCGCCCCTGATCCAACATAAAAAACATCCTGTTCTTTTTTTCGTATTTTGGATTTTTTGAGTGGGGGCAAGGAACTGTGAACTAATGAACCACATGTTAATGAAGGTTTCAATAAAACTAATATCTCTTAAGTGAACGTAATTGCCGGGCGAGGCAATTGAACTATTAATCTGCACCTTAATTTGGTCTGAAATTTTTCAGAACTCTTTTTCTCGACACTGATGCTATGTTTAGAATTATTGCACCCCGAATAGCGACCAATAGTGCTTGAATTTGACCCATTACGAGCTTTCCTTGAAGTATCGAAAATCGGATAAAAAACAAGAAAAGCGACATCCTTACTAAATTTTGAAAACAAATAAAACATTAGCGAAAAGCTATACCAGATTATTCAATTCCTAATTTTTGAAGGTTGAATTAGCTTTTGCACCACCACGATGTCTGCAAGTTGGGTTGGTTAACTCGCACAGCTTAAGAAACGAATGAAAATATTCTAAAGAAAACATACATCTCTTTCGCTCTTTGATCTAAATTCGTCTTAATTGCTAAAATATCATACCAAGTTTTTCTCGACATCGCGAAATCTATTTTGATACGTTTATCGATGAAGCACGATCTAAAGCGTTTTAATCTGATATATCACTCAACTTTTCAGTGATAATGACCATATGAAACCTAGTTTTGAATGAATAAAGTTTTTATTTGCGCTACCTATACGCTGTATTGCAAGTTTTTAACTCGGCTATACTAATAAAACTTGTTGTTCCTACCATTGAAAATGGGGAAGAACTTTGTATTCGGGTGTGTTTTAGTTTTTTCCACGCAAAATCAGGTACCGCAAATAATCACCGGAATGGGTCGAGTAATATATCATATTAAAGGCTTTTTCAGTCGTGATTCGAACGATATTAAAACATTCTTTCAATGTCGAGAAAAACCGGTTTGAAATTTTTGATTTTTTGGTCTAATTTTGAGCTAATAAGTGGCCATGTAGGCTTACAATAGCTTAATTAAGTTTGATTATAGCCGTAAAAACTTATTTTTTATTCAAGTAAAGATACTTTTTGGATTTTTTAGCGCAATTTTGGGAATAAAAATTGGAAATTCAAAAAAATTCTGGTTTTACAAATTTTCTTTCGTTTTTCCAGACATTTTTCTTCAAAAACTGCTTTCCAATTGACCTATATTTTATGAGTCAATTATTCCTAAGTTCTATTTTTTCGTTCAGATCTTTTTATCACAACATGCAGAAAAAAAATATGCAATTTGAACATTTTTTTTATAACTGTGGTCGGAACAGTCTGTGCTACTTGCACAGTAACCTGCTATCCTCCTTATAATTTAGTCGTTTTTGTTTGTGTGAATAGCAGGAGAGGGTGGTTTTTAACTGAAATAAGTTGTAGGGACTAATATTAATACAGGAGCGAAGCTGAACTTCAAAACATAAACAACTTAACCTCAGAAACAACCAGCATTAAATGCGCTTTAACTGGGTAGAATCCGTTCATCTATTTATAATTGCCAAATATAAAAATACAAATTAAACATTAAACGAAAACTCAATCAGAAAAATGCGATGGAAAAAGTGAACAGTATTATCACACAAGCTTTGATTGCACAATAAAATATGAGCACAGAGGCGAAGCTGCACTTCGCAACCAAACCAAACGACAGGAAAAAAATAAAGAAAAAATATATTGTTTTGAAACAAAAATCAACTGAAAACAATGATAATCGGCTGCTGTGCAAGTAGCACAGAAAAACCCGACAACATTCATAAAAACTACAGAAAAACGTTTTTCAATACTTCAATTTATTTTCGTTGTTTGTGCGTGGTGTGATGATAGAACCAACACGTAGAGCCTTAGCGAAAGGCATAACCGACAACAATTGTCTTCAAAAATGAATGACAAGAAAAAAAAAACGTTTTGCAAAAATTTTAGGAAATTTTTATTGCCAAGAAAATGCTAAATAAAGCTTCTAAAAGTAGTTTCCTTGTAGTAAAATTAACTTTCAAAACCTAATCACAAATTTCATATAACGAACGTTAATTGATCGTGTTACCCGCACAAAATTAGACTAAATCTCAAAAAATTCGACTACGACAATGTAATTTTTTTTAAGTAGCTCAAATCACAACTGATAGAGCTTGTTAAAGATATATCACTCAACGCATTCCGATGATTTTTTGTGGTACCTGATTTTGCGTTGAAGAAAAAACTAAAACACGTCCGAATACAAACTTCCTCGCCAACTTCAATGGTGGGAACAAAAACAAGAGACGTATACGGTAACCAACACGGAAAGCTGGTTGCTGTGCAAGTAGCACAGAATGTTCCTAGCATATTCATCAAACCTACAACAACGGGTTGTTTTTTCTTCTTCAAATTAGTGTCCTTTCATGTGCGTTAATCAAAAACACTAGCCTCAAATAAAACAGAACAGATGCTAAAGATCACGATTATAGCAAAAAGGCCACCAAATAATGAAGACTTTTATTTGCAAGATAGGTTAGAAAAAAAGACGGTTCGTACTAATTCACTAACGCTCGCAAGTAGATAAGGGACGTTCAAAGTAAGACTCGCTCGAAATGAGACAATAATTTATAAATTTCAATCCAATTTTCTAAATACTGGAGTAAATTTTCGACATTAAAAAAAAATCGTTCGAGTCACGACTGAAAAAGCTTTAATTTGATAAATCACTTAACCCATTCATATAACTATTTGTGGTACCTGATTTTGCATATGAAACGAAAAAAAAATTAAAACACATCCGAATACAAGTTCCTCCCCATTTTCAATGGTTAGAACAATAAATCTATAACTCTTGACTAGAATTGGATTCAAGCTTACTTTATTCTCTGTTGATATAGCTAGAAACTCATATATAAACATCGCATCCATTTTACACTAAAATGTGGGAATAATACCAAAGGGGAAAAAACTGAGGATCTTGTTAACTATTCCCCCTCCCCCCTATTTCGATTTTCAGAAATTCAACTTTGGCGGCCACATTTTCAATAGCTTAAAACAATTTTCAGAAAAAAAAATCTTCAAAATTTTCTTCGTGGGTATTGTAAATAGTGAGTAATACAAATACGAACGCGCGAAAATGAAAACCAACTTAATTGTTGACATTTTTGAAATGCATATTTTATACAGAAATGGTTGTCAAAAATAATACATGCATGGGGGGGGGAGTTAACAATATCTAAAAAGGGGGGAATAGTCAAAAAGATCCAAAACTGAAATTTAGGAAAGTATACTAATCGTTTACTACTATGCTTGCAAGATCAATTGTGCTCGTTTCATTAATTAACATGTCAAACAAACATAGCCAACAGACAATTGGAAAAGTGTCACTGGACTCAAGGAAAAAAATGATTTTGAGACATAGCCAACAGACAGTTGGAAAAAAAATAAATGAACGCAATTAAACAAAAAAGCTGACATTTTAAAAAAATCTCCAATTTCAAAGAAAAAATAGATACCTTTAAAGCTCCTTAAACTGCTAGAACAATTGATGATTGGCACTTTTCGAATACAAAAAAAGTCGTATTTTTTTTGTTTCTAACTCGAACGCTCTTATAAAAAATTTTACCTTTATGAATTATAACTCTGAAACAATCCATTATTGAGCTTGTCAACAAAAGGTAGCTTACTAATCCGCACATGAATTCAAAACATACATGCTAATTATTTCAAGAACACATATTTTTTTTCAATAAAACCTGGTACATAAGAATACAGTAAACAAAACCCATTAGAAAAGCACGGATGTGCAATACTCTTCGACCGCGATTTAAGACAACAACAGCTAACAGACAGTGGGAAAAAAAGACAATGAACGCAATTGAATAAAAAAAACACCGACTTTTTTTTGAAAAAATCCCCACTTTCGAATTTCAAAGAAAAAAATGGCTGCTCTTAAAGCTCTTTGAATTGCTAGAAAAATTAATGACTGGCACTTTTTCGATTAAAAAAACCCAATTTGAGAAAAAAGGCAATCAGAAAAGAAAAGATAAAAATAAGCTTTGAAAAATAACAACTTAACATCTGCCATAATCGAACCACCAACCTGGATATTTCGAGTCTAACATCCACCCATTTCCACTTTTTGCGCTTGCAATAGGCAAACAATAGCCTCCAATAAAGCGTATCGTAATTAGCGAGTAGTTTGCATTAACTAAATTTGAATTAATTTTAAAAAGAAATTGACAGTCAAACGGCAAAAAATTCAAATATGAGCGTGACGAGGCTTAAAAATTGAAAAAATCAACACCCTTTATTAGAGTCTTCACTAAATTCATTGAAACTGAAAAAAAATAATGTTATTCTACAAAAAGTGAGCAGATGATTGCAGTATTATTGGGGTGTTTTAATGGCTAACAAATGTGATTCGAATTAGGGTCTATGAAACTAATATAATTGTAGAGACCTGCCAACTCGGTTTATCTGAAACAATTCAGTGTCACAATTCACCCGAAAACAAAAGAGCTGTTCAGCATAGATAAATTAACACAACTTACCTGTGTACTTTTTGCCTGAAAGCAGACTTACAACTTGATTTAGAGCTTCTATGATTCTTCTAAAATTTCCTGCCTGAGAACTTAATGATGTTTTCCCAATTACATCGTATCAACATGGCTCAAAAGAATCATTTTTCCTAAAATTTTCATATAGCACGGAAAATACTTCTACAATTATTCCGCGGCAGCCACACATTTAATTGAAATTTTCTTCCACTCTAACTAACCTGTTTCATCGTCCATTTGTTCTAAATCAGAAGGCATGAACACTCCATAGACCACATTGACAGTCTGAGTAGTCCCCTGTTTGCTCCCTCCCCTCTCACCCTCCAATCTTGTCCCCTTGACTGTCACTTCATTACCACTGCTACTTCCAGTCTCAGCTGCTAGTCTAGATGTCAGCTTCACAGACCTAGACCCCCTGAACATCGGCTTCAGAGGCATCTTGTAAATGGAAGCCAGTATATTAGAGCAGTAGAGCAATCTCTCCAGCGCAGGCAGACATAGTTCAGCGGACTGAGCTCCGTTCGGATCCGTAATACTCGAGTCGTTCTCTGACGCCGAGTCGTCTTCAAACGGATCAAAATCTCCCGACCCTTTTACAAATTTCAAAAGACATAGTATGCAATCTATCGCAGCGTTCGCAAAAACATAGACATTGTCAGTATTTAGAAAAGCATCAAACACGTCAAAAACTGGTGATATTTTAGCCTCAATTGACCCTTCAGTTGGAAGCTGGCTATCTTCGTTCGAATGCTTTGTGACGCGAACTGCACGCAGTGAGCCAAACAAGGGTCTCCAGCCTGACTTAATGTTTTCCTGACAGGCTTCAACTAACTCACAAATAGAGCAAATCACTTGATCTTGGATATCGTCGTCGCATAGCTCCAGCCTCAGCATACTTTCGAAAGGTTTGAATAAAGCCTCGTGGAAATTGTAGTGCGCGTTTTCGGGACAGTGATTCAGAATCTCAGTTAGGATGTTATGAATTGATGACACTGCTTTCTTTGAGACTTCTGTGTCTCGATGACAAGATGCTTCCACGAAATGTGGCGCCACGATACTCCAAGCTCGCATTACATGCAATATAGGACGCTTAGTTCTGATACATTTCAGAATGATTTCTCCCATCCTAAACAAATGGAGCGCTGTGCAGCTTTTTCCACCGGTAGGAATCGAGCGACTTGACATAGTCGGAATTGCGATTCCACAGTCATCCGCTGGCGAAAGCTTTGAGAACAACTGGAGCTGAGACGCGAATCTAAGCTCCTTGAGGAACTGTAGCAGCGCCTGAAGATTTAAATGGACGGCTGCTTCTTCGTAAAGCTTGTCCACTTCCGCACTTAGACAAGCAACAACTTTAGCTGCATTAGTCGGGTTCAGAGTGCCTCCTCCAATCAGATTGCTCCTTTCCAGTCCAATTTCGACCCTGGCCTGATTGACAATGTCAGCCACACTTGAGTCTGGAATTGAGGACGAAGTTGACATTTGTGATACGTCGAATGAGACATCTCCGTGTTCTGAGTCGAAAGACTGATTGTGTTCGTTGGACTGCTGGAGGTTGGTCGACAGTGTTTTTACTTTTCCAAAAGTTGAGAAGTTTTGCACCGCTCCGTTACTGAAGTAAGCGCGCTCCAACTGCGCAATATATGCAGAGCATCTAAAACACAACTTCATTTAACATCTCCGGCACGAAAGTTTTATTTCAGATTTGAAAGCATTTTCATTTTTAGTAATAGCACAACCCTCAATAGCATAAAATAGGGGAAAGACAGAACAGAAATAAGACCTGAATATGAACTTCCAACAATCATGGCAGTGACTTCCTATCTCCAGCCCCACACTCAGAAGGGCCTCCATGCTCAATACGTGACTGGCATGCAGCTTCATTGGCAGGCCAGGAGAGGAGGCACTTAAGGCTGTTTCATTCGAGTACTTCTTGTTGATCTTCTGACCTGTGGAGGAAGTGCACTCTCCTTGAGATGAGTGGTCGATGGCACACGATGCATTTGTGATGAGGAGGAACACGGATGAGCACAGAGAAGGCACGCCTATCAATAACAACTACCATCAAAGCTTTTTCAGTTCGTCAAATGATGCATAGTTCAATATACTTAAAGTTCCATTTAAAAAGCCACTGCTCAATTTAAGTAACACCTTCTTCATTTGCTTTGGCTTTAAACTCTTAAGAACAACTAATATCTAAACTAGGTTTCAACAATTCTGAAAACGTTACCCAAAGCACAGCTTAGCTGAGCCGCATTCCTCAATCCCTCCAGACTCAGACATATCGCCTCTCTATCTCTCTGCGTGATCTCCTTCGTCCCCTCCACAATTAACATAGCAATACTGGTCACCCCAGAGAGTGTCTTGGATCTCAATGGCTGGGCCAACACATCCAGAATAGTATCCCACACTGCCAGGAGAATTCGGCGGGAGAACTTCAGTCCAGCGTTCAGGGCCTGACTGTGCTCATTTTGTATTCGTTTCTTCAGACTGGCGTTCGTCTTGTCACTCATATGCAACATCATACCACCCAGTTCCAAATTGCCCATTCCGTCAATATCTAAAAAAAATGTTCGCGTCAATTCTATGCACTCACTTCACGTCACAATTTAGAGTAGCCATAATTAATTTTCAAAACATCGCCGAAGGCGATATTACTTAGCAGAGCCTTAGCAGCCTTCGATTATATTTATCAGAGACTGAGCAGTATTCGTTTATATTGTTTCTAGACTGACTTATTTTGTTAACGGATTAACCATTCCAAGTTTGGTTATCGTGACTTTGACACGGCTGTTATTCGCAGCAACGGTTGCATGTTAGCTCAGCACTGGAATCAATTTTGGTGTTCCAAGTTCAAGAACAAGGAAAAGGTTGCACCTACCAGTAAGCATGAGAATGAGTGCATTATTCACTCTGGGATCTTGTGTGGTGTATCCTCCCTCGCCCAGAATGTCACAAGAGATGATCAACTTGTAGAGTTCACTCAGCCAAGTAGAAGACAGGTAGACCAACACTCCGCTGTCGTGAATTTCTTCAATGAACTGTTTCTGTGTAAGCGGTAACCTCCCTCCGTTATTCTCGTAATAGTGACTACCAATCAGTTTCAAGTTCAGCAACAGGGTGTAATAAGTCGCTATGTAAACACCGTCTGCATTCAAAATCAACATCGAGTTATTGTTACTTTGCACCGAATCAGATCTCTCCAGTCCCGGTCCTCGCAATAGAAACGAGGGCTTCGACTGCTGTCTTTGGTGTTCAGCCACTTCTGCACAAAAATCTGACGCAAACTTCAACAGCGCTTGGTCAAGTTGGAACCGGTCAGTTATTCGGAGGAAGTTCGGCAATTCCGAAATCAGGTGCTGCAAGTAATCATTAGCACATTGACGTTCTTCTTCCACCTTCTCTTGAGCAAGCCGTTCCACTTCTACACGTCGTTCAAGGGCCTGACGTTCACTCTCAATGTCTGGCAGCGTTTTGGTCAGTTTTAGCCCTTGTTCTGGGTCATCTGTTATATCAAACACTTTCACTGGTCGATCCTCCCCATGTTTGTTGCTGGATTCTGTTACCTAGGACAAATTTATTCCCCATGATAGATCCAAAACAATTAAACTCATTTTCTGAACAGGACAGAGTTTCAGGGGCAGACAAAAACAGAACAGAAATGTTGAGAAAAGGAAGATAGATTTTATCATAAACCTTGTCCACACTTTCGATCAACCATTTGTCAACTACTTTTAACGAGCTCTCGGCAGCATCACTTTCATATTCAGTCAGAGGCACTTCGCCTTTAACTTGATAGTTGTAAGGAAAAGTGGCAAGATAGGGCTCGCCCTGTGCCTCAATGCTAATTTGAGAAGTGAGCTTGGAAATCATGAAGTCTGGCGATACGGGAGGAAGGTTGAACAAAAAAGCCCGCTCCTCTTCCGTTGGTTCGACTAGCATACAACTACTACTTGTGCTCATGCTCATCACTTCATCTGGTATGTCTTTCAACTGGTCACTAGGATTTGAAAGAGACTGAGATCTGGACTGTTCTTCGCGAATGGTAGCAATATTAATTGAGCCTGACTTAGTAGAAGGGTTACTATCAACTAAAGAGCCTGCTGGAGGACAACCCACTCCCTTCGAATAGTCACTCCCATTACCTTCACCATAGCACGCATTCACTAGAAAGCATCTATAGTTATATTCTAAATCACCCTCAGTCTCCTCGTGATTTACCGCAAAAGCCTGTGCGTTAAAAACCGGTCCACTCGAGTTGTTCAGTCTAAGGCTGAATGAGTCATCAAACTCGAAGCTCATTGGACTGTGCTGAATTACTCTGTTGTCTCCGGGATCCACCGATGTCATTTCATCATGATGTGGTTCCTCTTCAACTTCCGAAGACTCTTCGCGACTCAGCTCATCTAATGTTCCTAGTTGTTCATTATTCTCATTCTCGTGAAACACGTCTTCTTCGTCTTCATTTGTAACTATATTGTGAGTTTGGTGAGTCATTGTTGAGTCTTCTTCTCTTTCGTCTTCATCAGGAGTCCCGACAGAGTGAAGCTCACCGCATGACTCCGAATGTGCAGACTCGTGATCATGCTAAGCCATAGTTTAGGTATTTCAAACAATCAAAGAAACCATGACAACCGTCAATGATCGAAAAACACACAGAAGTCGCAAGAAATTCAGAAAATCAACTCGTTGTTTCAGAGATATTAAATTATTCAGATGAACTGAAACGATGTGATCAGAAACCACAGCCCAATTAAACCATTTTAAAAGTTTAAACTAACTAATAATTACCTTAATTGAGGGGTTGCAAACACTTGTAGTAAGAGCACTTACATTCACAGACTGTTCTTCATCTTCGTCAGGGGAGTCCAGCACATGGCTAAAGTCTGTCGCTAGTGCCTCCCCAGCTCCGGCGGTATTTAACGACAGGCTGCTAGACTGAACTTTTGCTGAGTTCTTGAGTTCCTCGGCTAGAGACATTTCCTCGATGTTTTTTAGACATCCAATGACAGGGGCTAAACATTAGAATTATATGCTATCGCTTAGCGTAATCAGGGCATTAAAATTCATAAAATTGCGTAAAAAAAACAGCTGAAAAGGTGTTAATGAATTCCATGACATCGAGTAAAACAACTGAGTTTCTGAAAAACTTCCAACTCTGAATTTAACAGATATCATACACCACTTTGAAGCTCTTTTTTGATTAAAAAAAACATTAAACTTGAGGTTATTTCATTAGTCCACTGGAAAATCATTAAACTGAACTGCACTAGTGAAAATTTTGTTATTTGAGATGCAACTTGCCTTTCATTTGGTAAATGTATTTGAAGTTATTTGACTTTTTCCGAGAGCACAAAAGTGACTGAAAAAGAAAAATTCAAAATTTTCATTGACACTTGAATGAACATTGGTCTAAAAGACATCAAAAATCGAAATACTACAATCACAGCGCCAAAAAAACGCAGAAGCGAAGCTACGCTTCACTTCGCAAACACTAGCCAAAACACAATAAAAAGCAGCTCTATAAAGCGCAAAAAGAAAAATTAGAAATAAGCCTCGAAATATCAAAAATTCGGCTACGTCACGGATTCGATCAGCGATCAAGAGATTTTGAGTCTCAGGCACTAACCACGGACGCTTAATGAATCTCAAACTTTAGCCACGAATAAAGCAGAGAACAGATGCTACGAAATTTCCAATGCTACCTAGAGACTGAGTCTCACGCACTAACCACTTAGCCACGGATGCTTAATAAATCACAAGCACTGGCCACAAATGAAGCAGAGAAAAGATGCTATGAAATTTCGAATGCTACAGATTGTGATTTAAGTAAAATTATCATCAAATAATAGAACACTTTTAATGATCACTTTAATTTGCGAGTTAGGTTAGAAAACAGAAGATTCGTACTAATACACTACGCCGTATAAAAACTGAGAGTGCGCAACCAAACAGAAAGACAGCCGGTTGCTGTGCAAGTAGTGCCGAAGATTCCCAAAAGAAGAATAATAAACATACATTTGAAAAATAGTCATGAATGCAAAGAAAAAGAAAAAATACTGACTAATTTTTTCGGAAAAGATTCAACTTTCGAATTTAAAAGACAAAAATATACAATCTTAAGGCTCTTTGAAGTTCTAGAAATTTATCATTAACAATTTTTTTGATAACATCAACTAATTCGAGTAAACTGGATCAATAGGTGAATTTTTCTACTCCGCTGGGAAACCTGACAATTAAAATTCATTTTTGCAACTAGAAGACGATCGCGTTTTTCGTGAACTTAACATCTCTGCTTTTCGAGAGTTGAGTTTTCAAAAAGGAACTAAGCAAAAACGACTAACAAAAAAAGCTCTTAACAACAACACAGAATCGACGCTGCACTTCGTAAGCACAAGCAAGAAAACGACAAAAAAAAACAGCTCTGAAAAGCGAAATAAGAGAAAGTACGACTTGAAAAATAAAACTTTTGCTGTTTCGGATTGCACCTCCGACCTCAACATTTGGAGTCTTACGTCCTTGCATCTGCGCCACAGGCCTCTGGAACCTTGCTAACAGTAGCCACCAATAAGGCAGCTAGATGTGCTAATAAACTGCCAATTACATGCAGCCAAAAAGTCCCTTAGCATGTAATAAATTGGAATTTATAAAGCCCCATTGGGTGTAAATTATGCATTTCAAAAGTTTTGCGAAACACTTTTCTGAGGAAACTTTCTGAAACTCAAATTCGATTTTTGTACTGTTTTATTTAAAAAAATAGCTTCTTTCGGTTCAATTGATAATCTAAAAAATGATAATCATCTATGTTAACTTATTACTCAATGAATGCCAAAAAACAGACTATTAAACTACCAATAGTGCAGGCCGCAAAAGTGTAACCAAACGAAAAGAGCACTATTATGTGCGACTTAGGTAGAAAAGAAGTAACCTTGTAGTATCACAAAAAAATAAATATCACACTTGCTGTGCTCGTGTAATTGTCAAGCAGTATCGAATGCTCTTTAGTAAATTAGCAGATATAAATCATGTTTGGTGACATAATAAGGCAGAAACAAGCTGGCCCAAAAATTGTTAAATTGGTAGAAAAATTTCGTGTTACAACAGAAGAACCTTAGTAGTGTAATAATTAATCAGGAGAGCCGTACATAACCGATACATTTAAGATTTTGCGAATTCGCGCGCGGAAAAGAACTTGTTCAGACATGATCAAATACGTTTACCCGAGAGTTAAAGTTTTGTAATCATGCCGCCAAAGGACGGTTTTTAATAGGACAGATTTCGATGCAACTATTAATTTCATAATCATGCCGCAAAACGATAGTTTTTTATTGGTTGAAATTCAATGCAGCTAGATACGTCATTGTGCGATTTAATTTGAAAACTAACCTGATTGGAAAAGACTCTGATTTTCTATATTTTCATTTTCATACAGTAGTGTAATCTGATCAATTGGTAAATTTGAAACTAAGTTTTTGCAAAGGCTATAAAACTTGATAACATAATTAAAACTGTTTCGATATACCACGGATTTATATATCTCTTCCTATCAAGAAAAGCAAAGCGCCTCAGAGAACGGTGTCAGTTATAAACAAGGAAATACCTATAAATTTACCAGTGCAATTAATTTCTGATTCCAAATCAAACGAAGCCGCTACTAAAGCCAAAGTAAGCTACTGAATCCATTCCAAGTTCGTTTATACCCCCAAAATGCAGTAGACCAAAACAACAAGCAGATTTCCTCAGACTGCAGAAGGGGAAAATCGAAACAAACTTATACTCAGTCTCAAACAAATCATTGCAAGTGTCGGTCGAGAAACAAGGAAAGAAAGGGTGATTTTCAGCTGCTGAAACATCTGGGCTGCAAAACTTGATAAGTTTTTGTTTATTTTCTATGCTCATGTTAGTCCGCGTAAATTTTAAACGCCATTTAAGCCAATTGATTGGTAATCTTAAAATTTAACAAGAAGTTATCCGTTGAACCACTACTCTCATCGAATGAAATTTTAAGATATCGGATACAAGTTTGTTATTTCCACAGAGCTAGTAGAAAACGATAAATTTATCAGGGAAAGCTTTCAGGGGAAAGCTCTCAATATTTGGATCCATGCTGCTGAGCAGTTTCTAGACTTCAGAATATAAAAATCTTAGTTCATAAAAAATTACTTCGATGATTTTTGTTCCGATTTTGGAAGCAATTGCTGAAGAGTCAGGCATTGTTTCGTTTTCTGAGTTTTTGATATATTCAAAATTGAATTAAAGATACATTTTTTGTTTGTTTCAATCAAGAACTGTTGAAGTTGAAAGCAAAAGTCAGAAGTGAATCTTAATTTAGGGTTGGGGTCTTATTTATTATTTAACCGCAAGCATGGGTTGAAAGCGGTAAATAGTGGTTTGTTCACAATCTTGTTTACCTTTTTGGTTATAGTAGTCAGTCCTGTTAAGGAAACCATTACCAATAATTGCCATTACCAATGAACTTGCGAAATGATGGATTTAATGCTACTGTAATTGCATAGATGAATACAACCTTGTATTTATTTTTTAGGCTTTTCAATCTGATTTAGATTCCCAAAAAACGCTGGCAAAAAATTATTAAGTGTTGAAACAAGCCGGTTAGAAAATGGTGATTTGTCCACACCCCAAACTCTTGAATGTCAATTAAGTCACAGAGGCTAAAAATTTAATGGTACGTTCGACAAAATAACTTTGAAAAAAATATGCCGAGAAAAGTTGGCAGTTTTAAATGAGCATTGAAATAAAATGTAAGAAGCGGTAATTGACCAACAAGACTTGAGTAGACACCTGATGGGTCGAAATTATCGTCATAAATCTTTTCAATCTTTTCAAGTTTCGCATACCCCGCGATCCTGGTTTACACACGTATGAAAATTTGTTTTCAAATTCAAATAGCACAATATGAAGTGACAAAGAGAATATAACATCAGCCATAATACTAAAAGCCGAGTAAACATTGTAAGCTGAAAAAAAAGGAAATTATACAAAATCAGAGTTAGTTTACCAGCAACATAAAACGAAGTTCATAAATCGGATGATCAAAACTTAGATAAGCCGAAAAAATTGCCTATTCAGCTTTCTTACCTAATTCTTGCCCATTTTCAACACATCTAAAACACATCTAATAGCACGCGAAAACCAAACCAGAGCCGAAGTACAAAAACCGAATTAAAAAATATATAAAAATTTTTTAAAAAATCGAAACTTCAAAACTGTGCTGGCAATATTCTGTGCTAATTGCTGAAAAATTACCTAGCTTTAATTTATAGCTTTTTAGCTCTTAAATGATTGAATATACTCGAATTGTTCACGGATTTGTGAAGAACTATTTTATATTTGTATCATTTCCGATAAATTGTTTTCTCGTTCTTTTATTATTTTGGCGTTTATTAACATTATTTTCTTTCAAGTCTCATCTTGTTTATTTACTCATTTTTTCATTTATTAGCTAAATCTGGTTGCCTGACTGACCTGGGGGCAGGACAATGGATTCGCTTGAATTCTGGTCACTCGACGCACTGGACACCCTCCCTTCTCCCCCCTGAGGTCCACCAAGTCCCTGCTTCAGAACATCTGTGATGTCCACATCTTCGTATGCTTCATCCACTCTTTCCCTCGTATCTCTGTTGCTATTAGTGGACGAGGACTGAGAATAAGGTCGATCCAACTGACCTATTGCTATAATTTCCTCGTCGAATGCTCCCTCGTTGTCATGTTGCATCGAACCGAACTCTCTCCTGCAATACGGAAACCTACCATGAACAAATTGATCCATAATGAATCTGGTAAAATTATCAGATTTGAACGATAGAAAGTTTAACAGACAGAAAAGAAACTCATTTCGCGATTAACGCTAAAAGGGTACGATAAAACATAATTACAATTTTTCAAAAGAGAAAAACCGAGTAATTCGAAGCAAATGTCTAACTGTTGTTCCAAAAGTTGGTCAAAATGTGTGCCCTTCGACATGAACAGTTGAGAAAATAGAAATTCCATAGAGTAATTGACAATGTTAGCTCAAATTATCTCACCGAAATAAGTCCTCGTCAGCTCGGCTGTGTGTGTTGAACGTTCTCTTCTGAACTAGCTCTTTAGAAAACCTCACGAACTTTTTTGTCTTGACCGACATCTCATCTGGACTCATCAGCTCCAGATTATCCGCCCATCTCGAGATGATCTCGTCTATCTGGTACTGCTGGAACCCTGCACCCCAACTGATTTTGCCCAGAGTGGTCAAGAAGGACACAATGCAACCAACTGCCTCACTGCTCACATGAGAGTTGTAGCTGTACACTGCCTCGCAGATTCCATCCATAATGCTAAATAATTTACAAATAGTCTGTTTATCTCCGCATCTTTATGTTCTTTTTCTTCAGTACTGGCGACCGTATAAGGTAATTGCTAACATTCTTCGAATTTCACAACTGTTAAGTCCCTAGATAATAGATATGAAGATTTCCACGAGTCAGCACATTCATTACACATGAAAAGATAGACTAACAGCTTGAGCAAATCAGTGTCGTAGTCTCTCCTAGCCCTGTTCTCATTGACGCGGGTGTCCTGAATAGTGGGTCCACATATGTCCAGCACCCTCATCGGGCTCTGGAAGTACTCATTGACTGCCCTCAGTGCCTCCAGCCTGTAGTTGGGCGGGGGAAACAGCAGGATTCTGTGGAACATACTCTGCAGCACTGGACGCATCGAACTGAGACATCCAACCAGTCGAAGCAGCTCGCCCGCAATGGCATAGATGTTTCTAAATTGAGTAAGGACATCTCCTTCGAGAAAAAGAAAAGCAACTCTGGTTGGGTCTTTGAATCGACCAACCAACCCTTGCAGTTTTACCACATCCGCAGTACAGTTTTAGGCGAGTGGTTTTTTACTCAATGAAACGCTCTATTCTCTTAAATGGCAGAAAAACTCAAATTTACCATACTTGGGATCAAATCATTAGATTATAGAAAACATCAATAACTCAACCAAATTAGGCAGGTTCCTTGGAATCATTTCCTTCTGCTTGAGGTTACACAGTTACGTTTCATGGTGAGTTTTGTGCCGTAACCAGAATTGTTTTGCAGGGAGCCTTTACCCACGTAGCTCTGCATGAAGTTGAGGTACAAAGTATTTGTCGGCAAATCAGCTATGATACTTTTAACCCATATTTAACCAACACATCGAGTAGGAGCACAGAAAAGAATCAACAGAGCGTAGATACTAGTTAATACTCACTCAGAATTGATAGCAACTTTTTTCGACATCATTCGAAACAGTTTGAAGAAGCTAGATCCATGCAAACATTGAATATTACACGTTAAGAAAATTTACTCAAATAAAAACTCACTCGTAATGAAAACATCAGCCCTGGATTAAAAAAACAAAAATTGAAAAGAGCCAAATTCATTAACAAAATTGAACAATCAGTGAAATGATGGACAGAGGTGAATGAAAAATCAATTATTGGATTTTATTTCATTGCTTGTGTATCATGCAATGAGTCTCGCGCTCATTACCTCGCGTTAGATCCAATCATGTTTGGCGGAGAACTCGACACGCCAGAACCTCTTCCCAGTTCGTAAGCTGAAGACCCACCAACTACTGGACCTGCTATTGACCCTTTGCTCGAACCCGTCGCTACATTCTCACTAGCCTCATGCGTATTTGATACCGTCTTCAGGTTTCTTGGGTTTCCAAGAATTGATATTAAAGTTGGGCACAAATTCTGCCAAACAAACTCAAGGAACTGGGGTGAACAATTGATGGAATTTGGCAGACATCGGAGCCCTGTAAGTAAACTATCGAGACATAATTCCAATTTCTGCGAATTCAGTACCACCGTGGATGAGTTTGATGATTCTTGAAAGGATTCCACTTTCGTTACTAAATATTTAAGGGTTTCTATTACGTCATTGCGTAGTAAATTCATGCCCTTCTGTTGAGCATGCACAAAGTGATGACTTTCCAGCTCAGCCGAAAACTGATTGCTTTCAGTTTGATGATATCCCTCTTCGGTGATTTCCTCATTTTCTGCCGCCTTGTTGCACCCGGTACATAGTGGTACATCCATTTGGGCCTCAGACTGCCTGGCGTTTAGTTGGGACTTGATAGTGGCTGCACAGCTGGACTTCTTATCGTGCAGCTGGTAGCAGATGTTGCTGATCATCTGAAGAAGAGTGCCTCTGATGGCAGTCCTGGTACCACTCAGGAGACTCGTTTTCTGCACTGCCAAGCATAGCTGAAAAACATCGCAACCGAAAATCTCGCTACCAGTATTAGCCAGAACGTGACATTTCATGCGAAGTTTGAGTAATGTAGTCAAAACTCACCTCAACGGCTGAACACATGCTTCTTTCTGTAATATGAAAGGCGTCAGAATTGAAGAAATTGAGAAGAAACTATAACACAAATTAAACGTACAACAATGAGTTCTACTTTTGTCACTTATAGACGGAACCGAAATACAGAAGAGTGAACAGTATTACATTATAACTTTTATTGAAAATGTGCAACAAATTTTGGGACTAGCTACTGCACATTTTTGGATATGAAACTTCAGCAGCAGTCCCGGCCGATTGTGTCTATTGTGGTCACCAATGTATTGCATAAAAATTGCTGATAGGTGACTGTAACTGACCTTCATGATTGCGACCAGCACATCATCTGGCAGCTGTGGACAACTGTTGAGACAGCTGAGCACCTGTGCCGTCATCTGCTCCTCGTACTTCTCCTCCTGAGTGAGGGAGAAAAACCTGGCATCGGTGACTAGCTTCTTCAGACCATCGATCGCATACCCACAAAGCTTGCTGTTCTTCGAGTCCAGTGCCAGAAGAAGGGGCACCATGCTCGTTGTTCTCAACTCTGTTTTCGGAATCATGTTCACCTGCTCCTCGTTCTCCAGCAATTCTAAACACTTAATGCGTTCACGACGTATCTACACGATTGAACTCTAAGCTCACAAAAACTATGGTTTTTAACTATGAGCAAACGGCTTGACACTGTAGTCTTCAATTTCTATCTATTATTATCATTATTATGGGCAAAAATAATTTACTTTTAAGTAAAATTTTTAAATTTGCCACCTGCCCTGCTTTCTCTTTACAACCTTGCCCCTTGCTTCCATGGGGGCGACAGATGGCATCCATTTCACCGCACCTGGTCCCACCGGATGACTCTGGGACCACTCCAACCGTGGTCGAAGCGAGATTCAACCCACGACCTTCATGTTGAAGATCGTGCATTTTACACACTGTCGCTCCATTAAAAGGAATAACTATGCAGAGGTGAGCCGAAACTCAACGCCACTAGCCGCTAAGTCGAAACAAGAAATACCTAGATCTACCAAAATTTTCCTTTGTTTGTCTCAAATTGTCTTCGGTTGCGACATTTACATTGCGACAAAACTTTCAAAGCGGTAAGTAGCAAAGCCGACGATACTTGAGCAGAAACTCGTTGAGTCGACAAAAAAGTTTTCATACTTAACTTAAATACTCTAACAAATTTTAAGTCCCCCCACAAAAAACACGCATAAAAAACACACACGTTTTTTTTATCTCACCAAGCGGCGCAATAAGGTGCCACTTTTGTTCAAAAAAAAATAAGTAGAAAAAACATGAAAAAAACCAAAGAAACCAAAACGTTCGTATACTCAATAAAAAATACAAGGGGACGAGTAAAACATGTAGATAGATGTTTGATAATTTTGTGGAATTTGTTTTACTTAAGCTGGATGTAATGGGTAGTTTCAAAAAATGGACTTTACCGAAACCTTAGTTGCTTTTCTACTTAAGTAAGTGAGAAGAAGGAAACTTTTTAAGAAATTGCTATCTTCCCAAATACATAAAAATTTTCTCACAAAAAAAAGGAGTCGCCGCTTCTGTAGGAAAATGTCTCCCAACCGGTTCTTTCGATTGAACCCTTCATCTCAAATTTGACAGCATAGTTCCTATGAAAATCAGAAAGATTTGAAAAACACGGTCAAAAGTTCAAACACTTGATTTTCCGAAATCCATCAGCGCCTAAACAAACAATAATAACAAAACCGGGTTTCTGATTGAACCTGAGAACTTAACGTAAGAATTGGCAGGGTAGTTTTCGAGAAGTCAAAGAGTTTCCAAAAAAGGGTTAAAAAATCAAAAACTTTACTGTTCCATGAATCATACCTTTTTGTGTAAAAATCTGAGTCGATTGAACGCAAATTGAAGATTTGAGAGTTTCATTTTCGAAAAAAAGTCAGTCAAATAGTTTCAACAGACGGTACAAAAACCAATTATTGACATTCCGAGTGCCAAAACTTTCTGCTGAAATTTTTTTGGCATAGCCACTAAGCAGATGAGCTTCCCCTAACGCAATCTATCTACTGAACCCCAATATCTTGAATTTGGGAGAAAACGAAGAAAAAAGTCCAAAAATATGGGTTTAACATTCTCCCTCCCCACACACTTTTTCGAAGGCTGTAGACAGTACACTAAAGTACAAAGACCCACGGAGTTTAAGCAGGCACATAGGGGAATAGACGCTCTTTTCTTTGATCCGATTTTTTTGAAATTCGGTAGAGTAGTTTTCTACTAAACTAAAATTTTGTTTAAAAATAAAAAAATCCGAATGCGTCTCAAAAAAGAAAAAAAAACCCAATCCTATACCATTTTATTTTTAGAATACCTGATTTTGTTAAGCAGGAAATCTTTGCTGTCCAAATTACAAAATATAAGTTGACGAAGCCGATGCAACATTAGCCGAAAAAAAACTTATTCAAAATCATACGTAGTAAAACGACAAATTACACAACTTCCAATTATCGCAAAAAAAATACAATGAAAGTAAAATCCATGCTTAACAAATTAGGTTGATAAAAACTAGTACCAGATAATAAAAAATCGGAAAATGAAACGACGGAAACTAAGACGAAAACTATGAATCCGATAAAATCTAAGTTTTTCATTGAATTTATCTGAGAAAATAATAACTGTCCCAAGCGAACTCCACCTATTAACTTAACTACCATGAGGTACTTTTAATTAAACTTCCAAGAAATTGAGCATGTCTTGAAATTTACCATTCCTAAAATAACCATTCTGTGACCAAAGTTATTTACGGGAAAAAACCTTGTACCCGGTTGCAATACCGTTGCCCTTACCTATCGCAAGGGTAATTACCATCTTCCAAAAAACAAATTGGCTTTCTCAAATCTTCATTCAATAACTTTCAGTTATCGCTTGGTTGTCAGAGGAGAAAAGGAGCTCCGTAACTTTTGCGATAAAACAAGCTCAAGATTGCATTGCTGATGTTCATTGCACACCATTAGCATTGCTGATGTTCAATGAGACAAAAACGCGTCGCTAAACAATCCCCCGAATACTGAGCAAATTTTCATATCCACTATTATTCATATCCAAAAGCATAAAAGTCTGCATAAAAACGAACCAGCAAAATTGAACACTGAGGTGAGCTGAGATTGGCAATACTTGCAATACAACTAGATCTTTCAAAATGAAAGAAAATAGTTGTAAAAAAACATGATCAAACAAAAATACAAAATCAGCATCGGAACAAAACTAAACAGGCGGTGACAAAGCCAAAAACACCTGAGCTCGTCTTCTTAAAATCAAAACAAATTTAAAAATTTTACGTATACCTTCCCCTCATGACACACACAGGCACACAAACTTTTTCAGCGCATCAAATGACGCAAAACGAAGCTACTAAGCCTATATCAAACAAGCCAAAACCTATTGAACCGGAAAAAAAACAAAAAAACAAAACGAGATTTCAACAAACCGAGTGGTAAAGGTACAGTGCAACCAACTTAAAAAGTGCGGAGCAGATTGTAAATTGTGTTTCCTTTGAAACGATGCAAAATTGGACCACTAAATCGATAAACAAAAAAAGGCCGAAATATTATGGGTCGAATAAATTTCTAAGTCAAACAAAAACAGCAATACGAAGTCAAGGTAAGTAAAAATACAAGTTGAAGGAGTAAATCAAACACTCAAAGCAACTTTAATAAGAAAGTGCCACCAAAACGATTCAAAAATGTGGCAAATACGCCAATAAAAGATAAGGAGACAAATAATTGAGCTACAATTTTAATTGAAACAGAATATTTCTCAGGCGGATTCGCTACTTCCAGGCTAAGTGAGCTGGGAACGCTAAAAACTTAAATAATTATGAAACAAGGTACCACTACAGATGAGTCCAGAAAAGTTATGTGAACAAAGTTATTTACGGTAAACAAAATCCACTACCCGATTGCAATACCCTTGCTTATCGCAAGGGTAATAAACCATTATGCCAATAAAAGAAAAGAAAAACGAATCGAACAAAAATGGAAAACAAATAAAGGAATTATACAAAATTAAAGTAGGTACAAATTTGAAAGACGTTTTAATGAGAAAAATTAAGCAAAAAAACGAACATTTACTCATCGAAAATGAAACGAAGTCCGACCGGTAACTCAACCCGACTATATGATCCCCGGGCACGCGCTTTACCACGCGACTAAGTGGGGAGACACCTTGAAATTAATTAGGTTTTCTTAAAAAGCGCAAAATCTAAGATTTGTAAGAAAACATTTTTAATGGATAAAAGGGAGTCTTGTTCTCGATTACACGTTACTTGCTCTAGCAAGTGATATAAACGATTTGTTCTTACCGACAGCAGTTGTGCATGACTCCTTGATGGCTTTGTTCTTGGCAACTGCCGGATCCTTCGCCAACAGACACAGCGCTGTCTCCATGTTGATTCACACAAAGACAACAACTTATCAAGATTTGAAATTTCTATCGATTTAAATAACTCCACTGGAACTCCATCGAATTTCCATCGCTACGGCTCGAATAAAATTGATTTGTGAAGCACACTCATATGATAAACTGAAAAGTAAACAAAAAATGTTTGTTTTAACAATAAATAAATTCTAATAAAGAAAAATTAGGAGATAAATTCACCCGGTTAAAATGACTATTTTCAGTTTAAAATGAATGGACAAGCAGTTTCACGTGGTTTGCAAAAATAAGCCAGTAGACCGCTAAAAACTACTATTCTCAAAGAGACAACAGTTTTTAATATGAGCCAAAAGCTGCAATTTATACACAAAATAAATAATGTGCAACTATGTAAAAAAAAAAACTGATAAAAAACTATTTAGATCTATTTCATCCAGAGCTTTGTTACACGAGTTTCTTTTTCTTCCTCTTAATAGTTAAAAAGGATGCATTTCATTAAAAGGATCAATCGGGACCACTTGTTTCCAACCAGTTGTGTCCTTTCAACGTTGACACAACTCCTAGAAGCCAGCATACTATATCTTTAATCCACTCTATTGCACATTCAATGGGGTGGTTCAAAATGACACATGCACGAAAACTCAGTCACCGTAAAATACTCTAAATCACTTCCTGCAAAAAGAGCAAATCATATGATTGCAAGCGATCATTTAGTTTCGCTAACTAATTGAAAGGACCATGCGCACAAAACGTTCCATTATTTTTTAAAATATTTATACCGTGAAAAAACTGTTTACTTAACGTTATATATTTAATCTAGAGTAAAATTACAGCATCTTTGTAAAAGAAAAATGAACAGCATCTTTAAGTTCAAATGGTCAGATGAAGAAAGAAAATGAGTTAGTGCCAGGAAGGATCAATTAAATACTTTTCTAGCATTCGATCTAAGTTCAAGACTTTCGTCATTAGTCTTTGGTTCTTTATGAAAGCAATCCTACTGCAACTCTACGCTAGCCAAAAGTCTCAAGTCTCATTTGATCCATCAGAAGTAGTTCAAAACGTTTCTGGCTAAATAGAATTGTTTAGTTCCATGTGGTTATAGTTTCTTTGTCTCCATTAACCTGACTTCTTTGTCCATCTGTGTTAATTTCGTATCAATTTCGCCCATTCTATTCGATTTTTCTTTTACTTTGGCTGCGAACAAATCTAAGTCGTTTCTGAAAGTGGCCAATTTTTCTTCATGTTTCTTCTTCTTTTCAGCCGCTTTTCCGTCATCGTACAAATATATGACCGCCAAAAGACCAATGACAACTACATATAGAAATAGGTCTGCGCCTGAAACAAAATATCAAATACTGAATACGCGAATATTGTACGCACAAACTAAGCAGTTGTTTTTTAATTGTTGCTTCTGGAAAAGTGAAGCGTCATAATGAATGTTAGGAATATTGCCATTTTTATCGTTTTTGAGGTACTAGGTAAGCGACCATAGAAAATTAAAAGTAAGAAGCAGATCAATAATTTTTGCTAAGTTTGATCATTTTTACAAATTCAAATGAAACGCGTATATCTGCTGTCCAAATGTCTTCCACGTCGTTTTTAGCAAAAAAAAAATCAAATGCAAGTTTTACTCACTTTTACAAGTTTGATCATTTTTGCTTGCAAATGCATCAAAAAAGAAAAGTATGGCAAGCTAGCAAAAACAAAACTTAACTTAATCGAAAACTTTCCGAATAAAGAAAAAAAACGTTCGGAAAATATCAAAAATAAAACTATGTCTATCAAAACATTCTTAAGTTTACACGCGTTGAGTAGAAAAAAACTTTTAAAACTCGAAATTTCGATTTTCGAATGTTTTCGAGCATCACATTCCCCCTCAGTATACACGCGAAATACATACTATCGTTTTTCATCAAACAATTCAATGTCACGCGACTTAGCCGAAATAAATTAATGAAAACCTTTTAAGCCTTTCAATTAATGGAAACCTTTTGCAACACCCCTACCTATCGCATGGATAAACAATTTACAACTTGAAACTTGTATTTTGATTAACTTAAAGCTTTCATTTTGATTATCTCTTTTCGAGCGTTCTGGCACCATTGAAATATGGTTTAATTTGAAATTGAAAACACCCGATTTCTAGGCCCTCTGCAACATTGATGCAGACAACACTAGGGTAGACGGCAAACCAGCCGACAAAAAATGCTGTAAAAGCTTTTGAGCTATAAAAAAAAAGTTTTTCACCCCACCCCTCCAAGAGCACGAATGCAACAAAAACTATTTTGGCCCTTCAAACGACAAATTATGAGGCAAAAAAATAGATATAATACCAGCCGAAACAATTTGAGCCAAAAAAAAATTGAAGAGAAAAACAATCAGCGAAGAAAGAAAACAATAAAAATTCGAATGGAGCGGCCATTTAAATCCATAAAGGCTCCGAAAAGATCGGTTGCCGTGCATTCCATCAGAACAGACAAGCCAACTGATCAAAGGATTTTGTGAAACTAGTTCTGAACCGGAAAAAGTCTATTTTTCGATTGGATGACGCTCGCTAATCGCAAGTGTAAAAGAGTCAATGAACGCAAGTAAACACAAAAAAAATATATGTATTGAACTTGAAGCTCTTTGAAATCCTAGGAAAATTATGATTGACACTTTTTCATACAATTACGCTATTTTAGAAAAAAGCTAAATGGGAAGCTATAGTTCGCCATTTTTTGTTCATTAAAAAGAATAACTTTCCTTCCATTTTGCAAGTCGAGGGGTAAAAAAATCCAAGATAAAACTACAAAAAAACTCAAAATTGAGAATGACTAATTTTATGGCTTTTTCTTGGAAAAAACACGATCCAATTAAGTTCAATCGCTTCGTTCCTTGACTTTTCATCACTCACAGTCAATTAGATTTTTGGTTTTTAAGTAAATTTTTAAAACTTTTATATATTTTTTTAAAATTTTTTTAAGATTAATTTGGAGCCTAGTTTCAATTTTTCAAGTAAAACAAGGAAACTGCACAAACGATTTTTTTTTTTGGCAACTTCTGCAATTTTACATGAATTACAGTATTCGTATCAATCCGTGATACTTGCTCATTAATCGACTACTCTCATTTATTTGTAGCACAAATCACAAACTAAACATGTTGGCTCAAATTAACAATTTGAATCTACCAGAATTTTCCAAAAATGTGAAGTGAAACATCAATTAACACAGAGGCGAAGCTGCGCTCCGCAAACACTTTCGAGAACACGACCAAAAAGCAGTTTCATCAAGTGAAGTAAGAAAAAGTAGAAATAAGCCTCGAATTAGCAAAAACTCGGCTACGAGTAGGATTCGAATTTGCGACCAACTGCAATCGAAAAAATTTCAGTCTCACACTATCCACTCAGCCACGCAAGCTTAATAACCGACTAATACTAGTCACGAAAAAAGCAGCTACATATGCTAATAAATTGCCAATGCTATACCGCAAAAGTGGCACCGAATACAAGTAGACTCACATTTGCAAGTAACAATTTGGAATATAACAAACTAAAGGTATCCAAACTAACTTTGCATGTAACAAAACGCAAAGCCTAAAGCCACATTATGGATAAATTATGCATTTCAAAAAATTGCGAGATATATAGAGTTAGAAAATCTCTGAAATCGAGTTTTAATTTTTGTTACGTTAATTGAAACAAAATACTTTTTTTGGTTCATTTGATGAATCAAAAAGGCATCAACTGTGTTAACTTATTATTTTTCGAATCCCAAAGAGCATGCTATGAAAAAGCTGTAAAAGTGCCTCAAAAATGGCACCAAAATTTGCAACTTAGGTTGGAAAAAAGAAGGTTCGTACTAATACACTCGCTTCGCAATTGTAAGAAATGTATTGATTGACGACAGATGATTATTTTCGTGGTTCAAACCTTGTGATAGATTGAACAAGGTGTGATCAACAAAAAGCATCTGAATGATAAACTTGTAGCGCTTTTTTTCTGTATGTAACTTTCATCTAATATTGTCTTCGACATTACAGCCCATAAACAAAGCTGATTTAAGTTATCAGGACAAAATGAACAAAAATTAAGCTTATAAACGCGTTTTTCTCAATTTGGGCAAGGATAAGTCAAAAAGCGAAGAGTACAAAAATTGCTTGGAATTTCACCAAAACTATCATGGAGTATTTTACTTTGCAAAACTTAGGGCTCAAATTTTACTCCCAAAATAGGATAATTTTGGCTTTTTAAAATAATCAAGAATTACGCTAAAACTACCAAGATAATTGAAGAAAAAGCTATAATAAAAGAAGCCTTTCACTAGGCCCAACAGAACTCTAGAAGATTAAAATCTCCAAACAAATGCGCAAAAAGTTTAATTTTTGTTTCTAGCATTTTTTTGGACTGTATAAGAGGCTTCTTTTGTATGATTTTCTTGTCGATTAACTCGGTAGTTTTATCGTAAATTTTGACACAGAGGCGAAACCGCGTTTCGCAAGCAGAAGCAAAAAAAATTGACAAAAAGTAGCTTTTAAAGGTCAAACATTAGAAAAAAAAGAAAAGGAAAATTTATGAGACAAAAAACTCTGATAGGTTTCGGTATCGAATCCTTGATCTCGAGATTGAGAATCAACCGTCCTAGCATCTGCACCCTGGTCGCTTCACAGTTTTCAAACAATAGCCATCAAAAAATTCAGCATGTTATTGCAGCAAAAAAAAAACAGACTAGGGTCCAGTCACAGCTGGAGATAATTGATTGATGTCTTAACCTCAAAGCTGGCATTTTGGAGAAATTGAGCGAAGTCCACGAAATTGGTCGAAATCACCCTTATTGGATGTTTTGCCATGTCTATAGCAGATTCCTTGGCAGATTTGGCAGAATCAGCCTATGCAGTGGATACACCTACAACTTGTTCTTTAAATTGAATCCTTAAAAGCTCATAAGTTTCAATAAATCAGAAAAAATTATCTTTTTCGTTCAAAAACTGCTGTTTTAAAATATTGGGACCTAGTCACTGAAACAGCAAAATTTCATAGCACATCCTCCTTTGATTGAACTTCAAATCTCAGATCGGCAGACTAATTTTTGAGAACAATCTAAGTTTCTAAAAAACAAGCAATACTTCAAAATTTGGGCAATTTTTAGAAGCATAAATTATTTTCCCTCAAAACTTAGGGCACAACTTCTTATGCAGAGAAAACTTGCACAATCTGTTCCTTTGATTGAAACCTTATATTTAGATTCTGGGGCGTGGCTTTCGAAAAAAGTCAAGTTTCCGAAAAAACTAGCAGATCTCCTATAAACTTTTATACAAAAAAAAACTTTTTCAAAAATTTAGGACAGCATCAAAATTAAAAAATCTGCACAAACTATTCTATTTAATGTTCCGTCAAAAACAAATTTGGCAAGGTAATTTCCCAGAAAAGTTCCAAAAAATGAGCAAAACCTCAAAAATTTGACATTTTCTATGGCAATTAATTCAAAAATTGGTTGAAATGTCAAATATAAGACGTCTCAAATCCATTGCTGATTGCGTGCTAAATTTAGTAGAATCCGTTGATGCTGGCGATGACCTAACACTTGTTCTCCGGTTTCTCCCTTAATCTCAGATTGTGCACCGTAGTTCTACAGAAAAACAAACACAATTCCAACAAAGGGTCAACATTATTAAAATTGGATTTTTCTAAAACCAAAACAGATTTTCTACCAATATACAAACAAAGCGAAAAAAAAGAGCAAAAAATTTCACGCAGCTTAATCTTTCAATTCAGCCCTTACAGATTTGGCAGGGTAGTTTCCAACAAAAGTTTTCGAAAAATGGTTAAAAATTTCATTAAGTAGACTTTTCCTAGGTCAAAACTAATTTTCTACAAGTAGTAATGGTGTAGCTTCTAATGCAGACAGAAATGCTGCTACCTTTTCTTTCTTTTGAACCCTTAATCTCAGATTTGGCAGAATGTTCGTAACGAAAAATCCAAAAATGGTCAAAACTTCAAAATTAGACAATTCATAATTCTATGATTCTTTTCCACAAAAATAAAGGCGTAGCCGTTTTCAGTTATGCAAGGGGGATTTCGAACACCATTTCTTGCGATTGAACGTTTGATCTCATATTTCTTTTTCGGCACGGTAGATTTCGAGAAAAAAATACTTACGAAGAAACGATCAACAGTTCATAATTTGGGCATTTTCTAAGGCCATTTAAATTTTCAATAAAAACAAGGCGGAGCAGCTGATGTAGGTGAGATTCCAACAAATTTTCCTTTTTTTTTGAAGTCTTTGATGAATTCTGATTTGGTAGTCTTTGAGTAAATGAAAAAAAAAATGCGTCAAGAATTCCTCCAGCTTCAAGTTTCGAACGCCGGGTGATTCGGTAAAAAGACTAGCAAAATCTACGGCACACAGGGAAGTAGACGGTCTTTCCATCGATCCAGTTTTGCGAAAATAATATTGCCACCAAAAGAAGCTCCAATATTTGCGACTTGGCTTAGAAAAAAGTGAACTTCGTATTAAGACACTACTCTCCGGTTGTGTAATTAACTGAAAAAAGCAACTTTAATCATGTTTGGGAAAAAAATTTGGGATCCAAATTTTGCAAAGTAAATCAAATCATGATAATTCCGGCCAAAATCTAAGCAACTTTTGATCTCTTCATTTTTTTCTAACCTGTATCCAATTTGAGAAAAACGCTTCCCATAAAGTTTCCCATGTTGTTCGTTCTGTCCGGTTAATTTAAATCAGCACAGTATAAAAAGATTGTTTAATTCATTAAAAGTAAGCCATAATTGAGAATAGTGCATGAGCTTCGGTAAACAGCTTATAGTCAATGTATTGTATTGCGTGGCCGTTCACCTGTCTGTACTGCGCGCTTCTCGGTGAGCGGGGCGATGACCTGTGGCTTCTTCTGGTTGTTCTGCCAGGCAAGACACGTCACCTGCACCTTGTGACTACTCTGGCCAATCGGAGCCAGGATCCAAGTGCGCAGCAGAGTGTTCGTCTCTGCAGCTGCTACCATTAGTTTGGCTGCAGGTTTCACCAGCTGCTTGATTGCAACTACAAGGATCTTCTGCAACGGAAGTGGGGCCACCATATTGCTGATAAGTTCTAAGGGTCAAAGTGAGGTCAGCATTTCTCAACATCTAAGGACATCAGTCGATCATAACAATTATCTGCAAAACTGCCCATTCAACTACAAGTTAATACTTTCATAGCCACGATAATTAACAAAGACGAAGTGGAGCAAAACAAAACTACCAGCAAGAAAAATTTCATTAGTTTTTCTTACCGAGCAGTCACTAAGACAACAACACTTGCGTAGGCGACCGTTTAGCCAAAAGCACAAAATTCCTTTAATTTTTTTGTCATAACAAAACTTAGAGCTATTCAGTATGCGGCACGATTTAAGTAAAAAAAAACAGAGAACGTGTTGTAATTAGAGTTTGACAAGTAACAGAATGATTTTACATTTTAATACACAAGTGTTGGTCAGAAGAATAAAAAATCCATACATTGGGGTGTCACCCGGCAAAAAATTAGGCGATAGTCTTGGCTAATCAAACTTCCCAGAAAAAAATCAAATTAATACGCATCGAAAAAAGATCCGACTGGCATTCAAACCCCAAACATTACGAGTGTGGGCGTTAGACCAAGCTAGAATGGACCTCCAAGTTGTTAAGATTCCCTAAGAAACCAAGTTCAATTTCTTAAAGAAATCTAAGAAGACTTTGTTAACTGGAAAAACAAGTAATTTGCTCTCGCAAGAAAAAAAAAGACCTCAGCATCCATGCTATGGTATTGAATTGAGCTAATGAATGACAATAGCAACAAAGCTTAGTTTGAAAATTCAAAGATGACGTAATTGATCTTTCTCATGACCCCGTTAGAGGTTCTCTCTCTCTCACTATAGTTCTACTTTTTTTAAATATATACTTCTTATATAATTTTTTCAAACAACAATTCACAGCTAGTAGAAACTGTAACACTTTTTACTTCGTCAATTTTCTTTTATAACATACATAAAACTTTATACACAGGCATTATAAATATCTTGAGCCTCACTAAAAATGACCAATTTGATTAACGTCACGCTCTCCTATTACGTACTACATTTATTAAATCAAACCAACTTGAGCAAGAACTTTCACAATTCGCGTACATTGCCTTCAAAACACATCAGACAAAAACTGATATCCAACAGCGTATCTTATATTTATACTGTGTATCTCAAAAACTCCTGACGAATCCGGATTCCTGAGAAACTTTCATCATGTGTTCCAAGATGATAGACTTCGTGGCTAAGATGATCATGATAGTGATCAACATCATCACCCTTGTCATTTCTCTCGGCTTAATATGCGGCATGATCTACGCGATGGTGGGTCTGAACATCAACGAGATAGTTGAGGTGTTCGGGGAAACTGACATCACAACTATGATGTATGCCATGTATGGCTTCCTAGGCGCCCTCCTCATTGTCTCACTGGTCGGTCTTCTGGGCGTGTTTTACAAAAGCAAACTCCTGCTGGGAATCTACTCTGTCTTCCTCATGGCCTGCCTACTTGGTAAGCGAAAAAATCATTCATCCAAAGGCTGTTCTGCCAAAGGCTGAAAACTGCTAATACCACGTAGTTATAGTACACTAAAACGAAAATAAAAACTAAACGGACACCAGCTGATCAAAATCACTGCAGAAGTATTCCTGAGAAAAACAGCTACGAACCAGCCGTTGAGAACCAGAATAAGAACCAGCATTACTCTCCAGGATATCGTACTCGATGAGCAGTACTGCTCTTTAGGATCTCCCACCAGACATAATATATTGCTTTTGGCGTTGTATATGTAGCTGGTAAAGTAATTCAAATTTCAAATTTCAAATTTGCAGGATAAATGACTAACTGGTAGTCGGTTACATTTTATCAGGGTCCAATCTCCAAGTATTTGTTTCCTTAATAAGACAATTCCTTTTAAAAATTCATGAAATGTCTTCGCATTGCTAATCAATTAAGCACAGGACGCAAACAAACGTCATGTTTCGCTACCTTTCAAGAAACGAAAACAAAAAATCCATTCTCTAGCAAACCTTTCTGATCTCATTGAGCAACTGAAATGCTTTAGGTGTAGCGATCGTGGCCACGCTTTGGTTCCTGGAGGGAGACAGCATCATGGAGAATGCGAGGGTGCAGATGAAGGACAGCATCACCTACGAGTACAGAGGAGACTTCAAGACGGACGTGTTCTCCATTGCCTGGAATCTGATCCAGTACCAGCTGAAGACATGTGGAGTGGACAACTACACAGATTACGTCGCATCCGAGTGGTACAATGGCACCTACAACTCAAACTCCTTCAACGGTGAGTGAAACACAACAAAAGATAGAACTCAAAATCTCAAATTCACTTCAGGTATTTATAGTAGAGCAGAATTTTTTTTTTCACAATTTCTACGATTTGAGTTTGTTTTTGAAATTTTTTTGAAAAGTTATTTTTTCTCAAATTGTCAATTCAAAAGTAAATCCACTTGCAAAATAAAGATAGGCGAAGAATCTTTATCGCGACTTTCTCAGTTTAATATTTAAGAATTTTAACAGAATATTAAATTCTGCCTAGATACCTCGAAGTTCCGCCAAGCACGAAGCTGCATATTTGCTTGCTTTGATTCGAATCATTTAAGGTGACAACTTGACTCCAAAATCCTAATTGCAATATCTTCACCAGCTTCAAGAAGATTCTGCTAAATTTTTCGCTGTTTAGACTCAATTTCAGTTGCCAGTTCATTTAGATCTTATGGATCATAAGGTATTGGATTTTTTTTTTGATAATAGCATGCTGAAAAGTAATTTCAGTCACAAACTCAAGGAAAACAAAACAAACAAATAAAATGGCAAACTTTCTTTTTAATTATTTTTTTGTCAGTAACACCTTTAACAATCAAAAATAGGGTCAAAAAAATGTGCCATTTTGCACAGCAGATGATTGGGTGTAAATTAAAAATTTTCACGTACCACAAAGAAACTTCGTAGGAATAAAACATTATATTTAAAGCCTTAACATAAACTGCCTTCTGAAAACAGCAAAACTACGCAACATCAGTTGACTAATCCGATAAAGCATGAACCGAACCCATTTAACCATAAAATCAATAAAATTTTAAAAAATCAGAGTTGGTAAATTCAACTACAGAACAACCTTGAATTATAGTTAACACTAGGGGCCTAGCTAAAGCTGGAGGTACCTGTTTGACATTTTTTAGATTATGTTTTATTGATGCGGGACGAAGTGCATTATTTTCAAAGCCCAAAACCTTAATTGTTTCTCAACCAAAATATTTAAGTGATTAGCCGCTATTGTAGGCCACATACCTATTACACGTTCTTACAAATGAACCCAAAATGAAATTGGGCAGGTTAGTGTACTTTTCCAGCAACCTGTTCATTTGATCAAAATCGTGACTGCGAAGCCACTTATACCAAAAAGATTACCATATTCTGAATTTTCGATTGAACTCTAAATCTAAGATTTGTCAGGGTAATTTTCGAGAAGAGAAAAACTTCAGAATTTGAAACGATTTTTTCTTGCACAAATTAGTAGTCGACGCTTCTGCGAAAAAAGTGTGTCACAACTACTTGACCCGATTTAATCGATAATCTCAAACTCTGTAGGGCTGTTTTTAAGACACTCAAAAAGTTTCGAAAAATGGTCTAAAATTTGACTTTTCCGAGGGCCATAATTTTTTGTGTAGAAAACTCTGGGCGTAGCCCTATATGCAAGGGAGTTTTCCAAAAGCTGTTCTTTCGATTGAGTCCAAAATCTTTGATTTCAGAGAGTAGTTCTCGAGACATGTCAAAAGATCAAAGAACCAGACAATGAATTTTCTGAAAGCCATAATTTTTAAAGAAAAAATCGGGCGCACCCGTTTTATCAGGTCAACTTTCCACGAACCGCTTATTCGATTGAGCCCAAAACCTCACATTAGGGCAGGCATTTACCAAAAAATAATTTAAAAATTCCAGAAAAAAATGGGTTATACAGGCTTACAATTGAATTTTTCGAAGGCTGTAGAAGTGGAATAAGATACAAAAGGACGTTTTGCAAGCATACAGGGGGGTGGGTGGTCTTTCTATTGGAACCATACTTTCGAAAGTATTTACAGTAGTTTTTGAAAAATTTACCAGATCGTTTCGAAAAATTAAAACAAAAAAATTCCCATAAATTTTTATAGTTTATGTTTTTATCAACTAGGAATTGTTCGAATCAAAAATTAAAACAACCCAAGCTTTGGAGAGAAGCTGATTGAAAATCGTACCAGATAAAATGAATTTCACTTGAAAGAAAAACGGAAAATCAGCCGACAGAGATTTTGACGAAACCCACAAAAGCAAAAACAAATTAATATATTTTCAATACATAAAATTGAAAAAGTTCAACCTTAACTCAAATAAACTAAAATTTTAAAATTACATAAGAAACGTCACATTTCGAAAACTAAAAGCAATTGAGCAGTCGCATTTGGACACAAGATTTGCAACTCCTGAGAGTACTCTCGCAGTATCTAACTACAGGGTTGGGATTTCAAATTTAAGCTCTCTAAAAAGGCACCATATTTCAAAAACTACAAAAACTTGAGCACTCGAATTTGAAGGCACGACTCGCAACCCCTGAGAGTACTCTGTGAGCCCCCAACTACAGGGTTAGGAACTGAAAATGGATTTGAAAAAAAATTAAATTTAAAACTTCTGAAATTTTTTTTTGAAAAAGCACTAAAACGTCATATCTGGTAAACTACAAAGATTTGAGCAGTCATATTTGAGAGCAAGATTTACGACTCCTGAGGCTACAGAGTTGACAATTCGAAATTTAGAAAAAAAAATTTAAATCAAGTTTTCTGATTTTTTTTTAAATCATCAAAAACGTCACATCTCAAAACTACGAGAATTTAAGCGGTCATATTTCGAGCAAAAAACTCGTTACCTCTAGGAGTGCCCTGAAGGAGCTTCACTACAGATATGGTGATTTCAAAATTTGTGAAATGTTTTTACATCTGTGCTTTGAACATTACAAAAACATAAAAACGTCACATCTCGAAAATTAAGAGCAATTCAGCAGTCGCATTTGGCCGCAAAAATTGGAACTTAAAACTACTAAGAGTGCCCTCACAGTACCCAACTACAAAGCTGGGAAGTTCAGATATTTTGAATTTGAAAATCTAAGTTTCTGAAAAAAAACTAAAAAGAAATTATAATAAGGTCATATCTCGAAAAGTACAAAAAAAATAAGCAGTCAAATTAGGAGGCAAGAATCGCAATCCTTGAGAGTATTTTGATAGCACTCAACTACAGGGTTCGAAACTTGAAATTTTGTGCATTGCTTTTTGATTAGTTTTCTGGAAAATTAAGAAAAAAATAACAAAAATCGTCCTATCTCGTAAACTAAAAGGATTTGGGCATTCATAATTCAGGGTCAAATATGCAACCCCTTGGGTAACCCCGAAAGACTCCCATTATTGTGTTGATTATTTCAAACTCGGTAAAATAAACACTGAATTCAAACTGGAAAATCGAAAAACAACTCAACATGCAAACATATGCTATGACGCTTAACCATGGTAAATATAGCTTAAATATGGTGTCGCACGCATTTAAATATATTATATAGATATTGATTTGCACAGCATCCGGCTAATAATAAAATTAAGACCTTTTATGATATGACTTCTTCAGTGATATTTAATCATTTATAAATCAGATAATTTTTCCTTCTGAGGTTTAATGTCAGAAGTTTTCAGTTTGACCAGACATAACACTATTTGTTCCGTAGCTCTCATTACTTCAGAACCAAATTTTCTTCAAATCAAAAAATAAAAGAAGCAAAGTCAAAAACAGGTCTTTCAGCGATCATTACAGCTTCCGGCGCCTTTCATTGAAATCGTTTTCTCAAATTATCTACACAAGACTTGAATTCTTGGTTTGAAATATGTTGAATAACATACCAGGAAAAAATTTGATCAATTTTAGTTCAATCTATTGAAGCACAAAGGCGGCGCGGAGCTTCGCACCAATTGCTATTTAAAAATATTTTCAAGCTAAAGTGTGAAAAAAACTGGGAAATGTTTGATTTTTATCAAGAGCAAGCACGATCCAGTCGTTCTCTAAAAGATAGACGTGTAAAAACCGGCGTAAAATGACAGAAAAAAAATCATAAAAAAATTCAAAAGGGCTCATTTAAGAAACTAGGCAAAAGAATCAGGAAAACGGAAAAATTTGTCATATCTTTTCAGATGAGTCCATTCATTTTTCAAAAAAACGACGACAAAGCCCCATTCATTACTATATTCTGATTAAGAGGAGATTGAAGAGAACAAATAAAACATTTTACAACACTTTTATACATCGTATGAGATAAAAACGAAACACAACAAGGATATCCGGTTACTGTGCAATTAACACAATGCTCCGATCATAGTAAAAAAAAGACAAAATTTCTTAGGTCAAACGAAAAATAAGTAAAACTTAATTTTCACGCCATAATTTATAGTAATGTAAATAAGCTATAGTGAGTCTACACGCTCACTTTATTAGTTCGAAATAAGACCAAAACCAGAAATTTAAATCGGTTTCTCTCGACACTTAGAAAAATTTCGAAAACTTTAGGAGTCAATCAAATCACGAATGAAAGAGCTTTGCTATATAACTCGGCACATTCCGATCATTATTTTTTGTGTTACCTGATTTTGCGTTGAAAACAAGAAAAAAAAGCTAGAACACACCCGAATACAAACTTCCTCCACATTTTTCAAATAGTCGGAACAAAAACAATTCAGCAAGCATTCATGAAATTAAATAAATGCGAAATTATTGGAATACATCATAAGTATATAACACTATAGTGAAAAATGATTATATCATAAGGAAATCAAGGCTGCAACTAAGTTGAGACTTTGTTCTGATTTGGTATAGCTTGCGAATCTATTCATGCGATTTGAAAATCCTGTAAAAATTTCTTGAAAATCTTCATAAATTTCACGAACAAAAGACTGCGCACCAAGGCGATGCGGATATTCGCACCATTGCCGATACCACATAGCCTTTTAAGCTAGCAGACAGAAAATTGGAAGAGTCATAGGTCAAAAAAATTTCAAACTATTTCGAAAATAATGTATTCAGATAATGTTAAGCTAGCGCATGACTCACACCTACGGTATTTTAGACAGTTTGTTGAACTTGATGAAAGCTTCCTGAAACATTTACAGAAAAAACGAAGAAAATTAATACAACTGTAAAATTAAATTAGGCCCATCAATTAGCGTTTTCTATTTCTTTACCTGAACTTTTTATTAAGTAATCTTAAAGGTTTTTTCACGAAAATGGTCATGTCTCTCCAAATATACTGTGTTTTAAAAGATTTGTGAAACTTTAGACTAAAAAAGCCTTAAAACCGCCAATATAGACATGCTTCTATCATGCTTTTAAAAAAAATAAAAAATTCTGACATCAATCAGATATTAAAATGATTAAACTCTTTCTTCTACTGAAAAATTGAACAAAAAACTTTAAATGTCATATCCCGTAAACGTAAATCGAAAAACTCAATTAGAAGCCAAACATGCTAGCTCCCAAACAGCGCCACAAAACATGTTTGAAAAATTCAAGTTTTGTAAGTCCTTAAAATCTATGTTTTGAAGAAAAAAGTAAAAATGGATAGGACGCGCCATATCTCAACTCTTACAAGATTTTGGCCAGTTGAAATTTCTTCGTTAAGTTTAAATGGTTGAATTCGATAAGACCATTAAACGTTGCAGAAAATTGTCATTTTACTAAACATGGCAACACTGGGTCTTTTTAAATGTGTCAGGCGAAACGTTATTTAAATAATGAATACATTTGATGAAAGCACGTCCAGAAAAACAATCGCTATAGACTAGGAATTTCAAATTTTGGAAAAAAATTTACATCATATTTATTTGAACATTAAAAAAAGACATAAAAACGTCACATCTCGAAAACTAAGAGCAATTCAGCAGTCGCACTGGGACGCAAAAATTGCAATTTAGAACTACTGAGAGTACCGTCACAGTACACACCTACAAAGCTGGGAAATTCAAATATTTTGAATTTTTGAAAATCTAAGTTTTCTGAAAAGACTAAAAAGAAATCATAAAACGGTCATATCTCGAAAACTAAAAAAATTTGAGCAGTCAAATTAGGAGGCAAGGATCGCAATCCTTGAGGGTACTTGGATAGCACTCAACTACAGAAATCGAAACTTCAAATTTTGTGCATTGCTTTTAAATTAGTTTTCTGAAAAATAATGAAAAAGTAACAAAAATCGTCCTATCTTGGAAACTGAAAGGATTTGGGATTTCATAATTCAGGGCCAAATTCGCAACCCTCTGGGTAACCCTGAAAGACTTCTGTGGAGGGATTTTTCTGTGGGGTCGACCTTAGGGGGCGGTATACAAATTACTTTAGGGGGAGGGATTTCTGCGAGGAACTTAGTTACTAGATTTGTGTGGTTGTGTTTTAAAAAAGACTTGTTGTTGGCTAAAAACGAAAGTGGAAACTTCTTCTGGGTTGTTAAGATTGAGTGAAGGGTTAAGATTGATTAAAACGGAGTCAATATCTTCTTTAAAAGCGCTTAAAATTGATTATCGAACTTGACGTGGTGCGGGGTGTGAGTGGTAGAAATTATTTGGGTGATGGGAGCGGTATGACGAGATAAAAAAAACAGAGGTTAAAAGAATGTGATGATTTGGAATATTGAGGATCTCGACTTCACTTTGCAGCTCTGAGGGCTTGATTTTGGGTAACCTGCAGGTGGTTAATTGAAGTTTTGCTGGCGGCATGTGACCAGACAAAAACCGTACCAAATCTAAAGTATCTCACAGGAGTTGAGAGAGAGAAAGGGAGATTGAGAGCGCTTATAATGGTATACGTATTGTTCATTGCCAAAAATACATGTCCAAATGAAACATTTGAAATAATACCTAAACCATAAAAAAAACTACTTAGCTGGATGGATGGATCTGCTTGCCAAGGTAAATGACATTTTCGTTTGAAAATTGATTTAATTGATTAAGTTGTTAATGTCGCGATCAAAAATCGCTGTTTTTTGGAAAAATTTCAAATGTTATGAGTAATTTTTGACACGTGCGTCAATGTGGTGGAAACATAGCCGTGCCTATTTGCAGTTTGCGAGTTAGGTCGATTGAGTAGAAAGCATGTCAAGTTTCGCAAGTAGTAGTAGTAGTCAAAGAGTTTTCCGTGATCAGTTTTAAAATTGATGGGTCTGATGATGAAACGTCTAGTTTTCTGCTGATCTTATCCTGTTGTCATTGATGAAGTTGCTGTTGATGAGAGCTAGTTTCTGCTGAGTCAGTCTCCAAAACTAATGAGATTTTTATAGCGGGTCTGGTGAGGCGTCCATGGTTGAACTGTACTTCGCACGATCTGATATTCCATCTGATCCGAGAAACGTACGGAGTACCCGTCCCAGGGACGAAAGGCCGCGAGGCGTGAGGTCTTCGAGAACCCAGTATAGTTATCCTGGTTGTAAAATCTCGGCGGCCTTCTTCCAGTTTCGTCGTTGGCTGTGTAGGCAAGTATTCGCGTAGAAGTCGTTTCCGGAATTGCTGAGTGAGAGCTTTTGCCTGTTTCTATGAAGTCTTATTCGTTATGTCGCGGTTGAATCAAACCAGGTGTCAGGTTCACATATGGTAGTTCAAAAGGAAAGGATAGGACGAGAGTTCATTACTGCTTCTACTTCCCAGGCGAAGGTTGACTAAGTTTCGTCGATGAGGGTTCGAGAATGGAAAAAACGAAAATAGCCAAGAAAAAAATTGAATTTTTCGTTTTTCCTTCAAACTCATTTTTTAAGCTGATCAGCCCCCTAAAAACTTTTAAATCGTCTCTTTAGATGTACTCAATATGATGTTTCATCATATATTTGGAAATTCAAGCGAAAATCAACCAGTTTCTTATCAAGAAACGCATGGGTAGTGGATCGAATATCTAAAACTCCAGTAACAGCTTGCTCGCGAAATGGCTGATCTGTTTATTCCATTTATTTCCGAGGAAAATTTGATCTACTTTTTTCAGTTCATTGACAAAAACTTGCTTCTGTTTGTTTGTTTGAATATTTGCAGTAGTTATGAGAAATATTTTGCGTTTAGGATACGATCTGCCGTTCCCTATTAGCTGCTGTGAGGGTGGCGACAATTACATATCCTTGTCCAAGGTCATCGACGGAGAGCTCTCAGCTGATATGTTCAACGAAACATGGGTGTTGAATTGCATGGGAATCACTGACTATGGAAACGGAACAATTACCACCGACGGCCCCACCCACCCGAACAACAAGGGTTCCCTCGACGAGGTGAAGACTCTACTCAAGAGTTCCATTTATGTCGTTGCAGCATTCGCAGCAGCCGTCGTGGTGCTACAGCTGGTCCTCATTTGGGCCAGCTGCCACTTGATTGACAGCAAACAGTTCACCGGCGAAGACGAAGATGATTAATGGCGGCTACATAAAAAACACTTTCCATACTGATTTTTGCCTCATTGAATTATTTCATAATAATCATGTTTGATTCATCCTGGAAAAATGTATAGATAAATACAAATAGTAAATTATGTATAGTAAAATTGTAAATTTGTGAAATTAAAGACATTCAGTACTACTACAGTTTAAAACCAAAAACAAAAATGCAACAAATCTTTTTAAATAACTGTAAATAAACATTTCTGTGTACTATATAATTTGTTCTAAAAAAATGAATTTGACACAACATTAATAAACCTTTTTGTAAATCTGAAGGAATGACCTTGTCCTGCACACGTTCATACAAAAGATCAAACATCAAATATATTGATGAAAAACGAGAGAAACAGCAGAAGATCATTAATTCAGCATGTAATTCGGCATTGTAGAAGTTAAGCAGTTTTCTGATAGCCTTAACTAAAAACATGTTTATTTTTGCGTGAACTGCTTGAGCGAGTGATGTGACCTTCCGCTGCTCAAATTGACAATCAAAAGAGGAATGAGATGGCTGCTCGTTACAAACATGTTTAGCACCTTCAGTCGAGGAGTTAAATGCGACCGAGATCTTTAGATGAGCTCTTAAACTAAAAAACCAGAATCAATAAATTAACAGTCGGGTTAGGTGGGTTCGAATTGCACAGGTATAACAGTATTTCAGGCAAAAAGGAGCCAATATAGATGAAACAAATTACGTCAGAGAGCTCATCCAAAACTAGCCGACTACTGCAGTAGCACACCAACAGGCACTCAAAAAGCTTAAAAATCCTTTATAACGAATCACACTAAGCTCACAACTTAATTTTAAGAATAAATATCTCTAACTATACAACATTAGGATGCAAACAACGGAAGATTTTGAATAAAATTGCTCTGCGTCAAATAGTGAAAATGTGAAATGTATCTCACTTGAGAGAAATGCAAAGTTAGTCTGTTGCCTAATATACAAATTAGTTGGTCTTTCAATCTCCTTCTCAAGGCTATTTAATGCGAAATGAATGAACAAACAACTTGAGAATAAGATAAACTCATAATAATTTTGTAGTACTGTGTTCTATTAATTAGTTGGTCGCTCTGCTCTGTCTGTGTCCATTGCTACAATCACTCTTCCGTGTCCGACGAGCTGGTGTCTTCATCCTCTTCAGCAGTCCCTTTGAATTTCACTTCAGTCGCAACATCTCCATTTGCTGACGTCTCTTTCGCTGTTGTCACCGTTGCCAGTGTCTGGCGTCTCAACAAAACTTTACCTTTCGGAATGGCGACATCGCTTCCAACGTCTGGCGACCTGCATTTTTCAATGCCACCATCCTCATCCGGCTGCTGCCTGGCAACTAATGGACTCGTCAACGTGTTAGTAAGCGCAGTGTCTTTGAGTAGAAAACTATTGCCATGAGGTAGAAAAGCTGAGCGTCTATCTCCGTGATCAATCGTCTGTTCATGTGGCATCAGAGCATGCGGAGCCTGGAAATAGTACGAGAAAGGGTAGTTTATGAGGTTAATAAACGAAGCTGCGTAGAGGTCGGCGTATCTGACTGTCTGTGCGGCGAAGAACGTTTGACGAGACCCCGACCTGAACAAACTGCCGAATTTGCCGTACATGATGTCAATGTCGTGAGATACTTCACGCATGGATTTCTTCAACTCTTTGATCTTTACATTCAGATCCTCGCTGTCAACATCTTTCGCGCTGTCTAGATCCAAATAGCAATCAGTCAGCTCAGAGTTCAGCATATCAAGCTGGTCAAACTTCTTTTTCTCCTCAACCCAAATTGTGATTTCTTGTGCGATCTCGGGAACGATGAGGAATGTACGCCAGCCACAAAGTTTCTTTGATCTAATTACATCTCCGTGGATGTGATCTCCAAAGTATAGAACATCCCTTCCCTTGGCCTCGAAAAGAGCAGTGATCACTTCTGCTGATCCACCCGAGTACACTTGGCCTTTGACCATTGGACCTATGTATGTTCCAATATGGAGGCTTCCTGTTTCCGGATTGACCTACAGAATCACAATTTGTTCAGAACAATTAACAAAAACTTTGTGGTTCTTAACGAACAATCAACAACAGTTCGCCAGAAAAGCTTAAACTCCGCCCTTACTCTTGTGCAAAAATGATCGTAATCTTTCCACCTCATTTTTGTCAATAACAAAATGAATGGGATGCCATAAATCAATGCATAATTATTTATGAAACTGCTGTCTTGTAACTGACAAGAGCCTCCTTTTTAATCTCAACTCGAGACTATACTCAAGCAATGACTGCGATTCAAAACACAAAACTAGCAGCAAATCCAAAATGCAACATTGAGAAGGGGCTACAAATATTCCAGTAAAATTTTACCGTGGTATATAAGGCGCAAAACGGTGCTAGGCCAACAAGCCGAAGGGCCAACTAACCAAAAATAGGATTACCATTCCAACAAGCCGAAAATTAATATTCTGCAACATAGCATAGCAACAGATTGTCATTGATGTTATGCAAGTGTTACGTAACTCTGATGTAATTTACGTTATTCTGATGCAATTTCGGCTTCAAGATATGGCGGGTCTTTAATTATCCGCGCGGAAAGTATTGACCAAACTCAAAATTTACAAGCGGTATGTGTCTAATTAGCAGCAATTTAAGTGGGCCGTTTAGCTCAGCTGCAACCAACTGATAAACTTCATGGCAGCAAAATAGTGTTCAATCATTACCTGTCTGAGAAGAGTTCCCTCTGCAAAGAACTTGGGCTTCTGAGCATCCACTACAATCAGATCAAAGTATGACTTCCACTCTGTATTGTCCAGATCAGGGAAGTCAAACAGGTAGGTCATGATACCATTCGTGTACTTGTAGTCGCTGTTAGTCAACAGAAAGATCTTCTTACCATGGTCCTTCATCCGTTGGAACAGAATGGGAAGATTTATGTCTTTCACAATGTATTTCTCCAGGCTATCTACAAAAAAGGAGACTTCAATAAACACAGCCACATATATAGTTGCACCTCGCTCGTTATTTTGTACTTTTTTCGTTAGGTACCAAAGAACACCTCTTCGATTGTGGAAATCAGTATCTCTCCTTACACTTGAGACGAATATCTGCAAGGCCAGACAACCGTTTGACCTTTTTCTTATAGGCTATCAAATTTTAACTACATAATGAAAACGTGCCTCAAAGTAACACGTCAACAAAATTAATTTCGGGCATGAATTACTTAACAAGGAGCTACTTTAATGACTTTCAAACTGTTAAACATTAAAGTAGAGCCTGGTGTTCGCCTCTCAATTAAAAGATAGTTGGACCAAGGGCCACCATGATTTAAGCTCATTGCCTGCGGGCTAGACAACACTTCTTAGCCCAAAAAATAAATGCACGTAGTTCTCAAGGTGCACGGGTGCGGGTCTCCGCAAAGAGCCGAACAGCTAGTATGTTTCTCCACTCCATGGTGCATTAAAAAATTAGACTTACCCAGAATGTACTGCTTCATGTTGCCCTCTCCCCCATGCACCCTGTCGATTGCATCCCGAATATCATTGGCTATATTCTTAAAGGACATGAACACATTCTCTTTTCGCACTCCTTCACGCTCCACCCGGAAGTCTCCACTTGTGACGTAATGATTCACTACACAGGCGAAGGTGAAGGCTTCCGGTGAATTGAACAGTGTATTCAACACATACACGTCTTTGTCTAGGGTGACGAAGTTGTTCGGATACAGACTACTGATTTCAGATGTGCGTAGAAATTTGAACCCAAAACTGCACTTCAGAATATTGCCATAAGGGTCGACCTTCAGCAACGTTCCATGTCGCTTATCTAGCCACAGACCTCTAAGGGTGAATGCAGGGTCATATTGGAAGCTCAAAATGACTTCTGGGTATCCGAACTTGACCAAGGTTTCCAGAGTTAGTTTGAAGCATAATTCGTCAAATTCTGGCGAGACATACACAGCCAGTGTGTGGTCCATATCGAAGCCATAGTACTGGATTTTATCCAGTCTTAGACTTCTGTTCACAAAGATTCTCTGTTGCGGCGATCGCTTTTTGCTTTTACGTAAATTATCCATAAGTCTGAAAACAAAAATGACAGCTAGTTATCAATACCACTAGTTTTAAACAACGAAATGGTTTAAATCAAACATGGTTCAACTTAACCAGTCAAAACAATTTAAGGAAAATGGCTTATTAAATCAATCACATGTGGCGGAACAAGTTTATTGAACTGCGGCTTGTTTCCAATCGACTACTACAAACATGTTAAAACGAAAACCACTTAGTTAGTTTGATGTTTAGATTAGTTCGTAAAAGCTGCTGACGAAGTTCAGCAAAGTCTATAAGAACATTTCTTCAATTAGAGCGATGAAAACAAGAATGATTTTGAACGAGAAGGCGAGGACCTACTTCTTTCAATATTCAGGCGGGTCTGCAATCAGAAAGCGAAATTTCAGTAGAGACGTCCATTTAAAATTAACAATTTAAATGCACTGAAATTATAAATCAAATTCAATTTTACACAGAGACGAAGCTTCGCTTCGCAAACACTAGCGATATCACGACAAAAAGCAGCTCAGTAGCCAAAAAGCAGCTCTGTAAAATGTTAATCAAATTCAATTTTATTAAACGTGTTCTCGCTAGAAAACACTAGCGAGAACACGACAAAAAGCAGCTCTGAGACCTCCAGCGACCAAGAGAATATGAATCTCACGTACTAACCGCTCAGCCACGGACGCTTAATAACCGAAAACTCTTGTCAAATAAAGCAGAGAACAGATGCTATGTCATTTCCAATGCTACTGATCGTGATTATAGCGAAAGTGCCACCAAATAAGTGAACACTTTTAATGATCACTTTTATTTGCGAGTTAGGTTAGAAAAAAAAAGAAGTTTCGTACTAATACACTGCGCTGCCAGTGTAACTAGGAATTTTTAAGCACAAAAATGAAGAAAAAAATCTTAATTAAAATTCGACAATTTCAATGAAAAAAAATTAAATGCGGATCAATTCAAACTCTTGGCTGGATAAGTCAATTGCCCCGTTCGGAAGCGGCACATTTGATTTGTTTAAAACGAAAAACAGCTGAATAAAAGTTGATTCCGAAATAAAACCTTAATATAAAGATAAACAAAAATAAGAAAATAAATTACATGATTAAATGATCATGGGCTGAAGCTGTATATGCGAATCATATGAACTACTTCGTCTGATACACATGCGATGGAATGCTATCTAATAAAAAACCATTCGTTCTTCATCTCGAGTCATTTACATAAAAACGCAGAAACTAACAATAATTGGCTCGTAGTGCCGCTTGATTTTTCTTCGCTCATTTATTTTCAAAACGCATGATTGAAGTCATGACATTAATATTTTCACGTGTTTCTCACCGAGAGCATAACTTTCGACGTTCGAAGGTCATAGATGGGCATATTGTGTTTTTTTACCCAGTTACTGAATTTTAATTAAAGTTGACGTACAGAAATAGGTTTGCAGCCATGTCTCAAGCAGCATCTTTTACCTAAGCTCTCGTTCAATTAAGTAAGAACCTGCAAAAGTCTGATGCCAAAACTCGGACCTATTTTTTCATCACAAAAAAACTTCAATGAAAGCTAGATAAAAATTTATGAAAACAGAAAATTGACACAAAAGCAAATTTTGTAATACAAAAAATGGCTAATAAGATATCCTCTCATTAATTTCTGATAATTGCGTGCAAAATGAATCCTCAAAACAAAATAATTTAAAAATTGCTTTTCAAAAACTGATCTTCGGAAAAATCAGCAAGATTAAAAAATCGGAAGAAAACCTGAAACTTATTTAACGGCATCATTAGGAAGATTAATAATGACATTCTAAAAATGCAGCGGAAATTCTATAATCGCAAGCGTAAATAACGAATCCTAATTAAACTTTAAGCAAAATTTTCAGGCGAAAAAAAACAAAAGAAAGAAAAAGAAGTTATACAACAACTGAGTTGACACAATTACAAATTATAGTATAAAAATAAAATGACTTTTAAGTATAAACAAAATAGTTTAAATAGTTTAAACAAGAAAAGACACTATTGTGGCAAATAAGCCGACAAAAAAGCAGACAAACGACAGGCCGAAATTTTTTCAATCAAAAGAAAAACGTTTTTGAGTTTGGAAAAAGAAACCGCTCCTGCCCGGATTCGAAGTCACGTTTCGCCAGAGCCAATATGCAAAAGACAATGAAGAATTTGAAATCAGTTGGAAAAGAGTCAAAAAGGCAAAGAAACAGAACAAAACACTGACTGAAGTTTGAAAAAACTTCAACTTTTAAATTTTAAGCTCCCGAAGTATAGCCGAGATAAAAATAGACCGAAACCTATTGAGCCGGAAAAAAACAAAGAAATGAAAAAGCCGAAATCAAAAAATTCAAGTTTAATACAATTTTTCGCTCTTCGAACGCCACAAAATGAAGCAACTACGCCGATGTAATATAGGCCGAAACCTAGAAAGCCAAAAATGACGAAAACCGACAAACAATTTTTTGTCCCCAAAAAATTATCAAGTCTCCCATGCCATTTAAAAACACAATTTTCTTCATGGCCGAAAGACGCAATATGAGGCCATTAAATTGATATAATATCGGCCGAACCCCTTCAAGCAGAAAAACAAAGGTGAAAAAACTAAAAAGCCGAACAAAAAATATTGTCATGAAAAACTTGGCAACTTGTGCTTTTTAGCAATTTGTGCGGTACAGTGAGCAATTACATTTCCCTTGAAAAGACTCAAAATTAATTCACTAAGCCGATAAAATACAAGCCGAAATCATTAGGGCAGAATAAAGTTTTTGAGCGAAAAAAAAATATATACGAAGTCAAGAAATTCTAAACAGCAGATTTAAATCAAAACACTAAAACCATCAAAAATGTAAATTGCGTAAAAAAAAAAACTACACGATGAGGCAACTAATCCGACAAAACATCAGCAGATGAATCATAAGCCGACAATTTTTTGAAACGGAAAATTTCTCGTTGGAAAAATAAAAAACAGGATGGTGTCAGATTCGAACTCAGGAGCTCCGCCATCCTAGATATATTCGTTACCTCTAGGCCAAGGGTGGCCGAGACACAAAAAAACTTGAATTCACTATCAAACGAGCCTAAAATTACCATTTCTTATTTTGACATTCTGTGAACAAAACTGTTTACGGGAAAAAAAGCCTAGTGGCCGATTGCAACACCCTTTCTTATCGCAAGGGTTATCACCTTTCGGAAAAGTATTTAAGCCTAAGCCAGTCTAGTACTTGATAAATCTCTTTGCGTACATGTAACAATGCGAAAAAAAGTAGAAACATTCTAGGGAAAGTTTAAAAAAAAAGCTCTGCTTACAATATATACACAAGTGTGCCATTCCCCCGGATTGGCAGAGTCGAACCTGCTGCGGCACTAGAAAAATGACGATAAAGGCCTTAGTGATCAATTATTAGTAAAAAGGAGGGTCAGAATATTCTGGAATTTTTAATTTTCGAAATTTCGATTCTCAGCGGTCTATTTCTGAGAAATGCAGAAACGGCCATATTTGGCAGAAAAAACTAACGAATTACACACAACCGGAGATACAGGACGAAAAACGGTCGATAGAAAAACACGAGAGTAACGAGATGTCTTATCGTGGTAACAAAACACGATAAGACACTTATCAGAAAGAGATCTCACGAAAGGAGACTACAGTGGAACATCCAGAGCGGAACAGTACTCTTCCGTGCAACGAAATTAAGGAGACAATGACGTTATTTTCAGGGAAGCACGGAATTGGAGGCCCGGTGCCCGGAGACAGATATATGCTGAGAGACTGTGATAAACGCATATTTTTAGCTACTTTAATGCCCTGAACATTTGAATTAACTCCTATATTTAGTATTTCGGAGTATGAGTAGCCAGAAAGAGGAAAGGGTCAATCCATCTCCAATGGATTTAGTATATAACTGTCACTAAAAACATAGTAAAATAAGATATTCGAGCCGTGTTTTTAATGGTAATAACGTAGTCTGGGGATCCGAGACCCAGCTATGTGGTTATCTTCGCATGCAAACGAAAGCTGACGAAAAGTCGTTTGACTGATGGCCTAAAAATGGTAACTTTTACTTAGCCTTCAACAGACCAGAAAATCAACTGGCTAGGTCGAGACGGTGAAAAACGGGTAGAACTTGGGTAACTAATGCGGGCCAGTCGTCAATAGGTGCTTTTTCTACGCTCCGTCACTATGTAGTATTTGGGCGAATATTACAAAGTGAAGCTGCAACAAGGATACGGAAGCTTTAAATGCACAATATCTCAATTTGCATATAAGAAATTGGAATGTAAGCTAAAGGCTTACTTGCTTATAATTAGAATGTATTGAGTCAAATTGCGTATTAATTATGCGTTTCAAAAATCTTGAAGTATATCGAGTTGGAAAATTTCTGAAATGGGATTTTAATTATTACACTGTTGTAAGAAACAAATAACAGTTTACGATTCAATTGATGAACTAAAAAAGCATCCACTATGTTAACTTATTATTAATCAGATGTCAAAACACATGTAAGTATAAATGCATCCTACTATTTCAAAAGTGCCACCAAATTTAGCACTTTTATTTTCAACATAGGTTCGGAAAAAAATTACATCGTACTATGATACTACGCTACGCTAATGTAAACACAGAGGCGAAGTTGTAAAAGCAAAATCGACAAAACACTTATTCAAAATGCAAAAAAAAAACAAGCAAACGTCTTAAACAGGATTTCAAAATGCAAAAAAGGATTGGAACCGGTGACCTTCAGCTTGTGAGTCATTTTCCTTCTCGATTAAGCCACCCGTCTAGTAGTCTAAAAGAAATACTACCTAATCAAATAGTTAATACCAGGCAGCCATAAATGAAACATCACGAAGAGTTCAAACACATGCTTCTAAACTAAAACTTAATTAAAACAATGAATACAGAAATATGCCATTTAAGTTAGGAACCTTTCAACTTTCGATTCAAAAAATGTAAACAAAATTATATAGCAGGAGAAACTTCGTATGTGGTCAAGGGAGATATCCTAGAAAAGCCCTTTTGCAAAAACATTTTCCCAAAACATGACAATTTTTTTCAATTTAAGGCTTATTACTAGTAAGTTGAACCAAAATGAAATTTTGAAAGAAATGAGGCTCATTTATCAGTCGAAAGAGCAGATGAACTTGTTTTCATATACTGCAACGTGCTTTACTTGATAATACTGATCAAAATGATTATTTAGCGGATTTGAGTTTCTGTAAAATGAATAATCTTCAAACTTGGTGGTTTTCAAGCAGACCCTGAGTTTTTGAAACCTACTATTAAGTAAAAGTAACTTACTAGTAAAAAAGTGGTAACTTACTAGTAACTTACTAGCAAACGAATTTTACTTGTGAGTAACTGCAAAACCCTACCCACAACCCTTGGTTTGCAACACGGGGCCGCAAAATTTTGATTTAAGAATAGTTTGGGCTATAAAGCACACTCGCGCAAAAATAATTTACTATTCAACGACGCATAATTAGGCAAGTAAACATACAAAAGAAAGCCTTAAATAACCTTGTAAATTGTCGTTTGTAGATAAACTAACAAAAAAAAATAGCGAGTATGACAAATAACTAAATGCAGACATGCCGAAAACATGCCTGTAACTAAAGTTAGTAATGAAACGGAAAAAACGAATAAATCGACAAATAAAAAATTTGGGAAGATAAATGAAAATAATTTCAGAAAAAAAACAGTCGAAAAATCCAACCAGCAATATCAAACACATGTTTAAAAAACTAGAAGAATAGAAATTTTTGGCTTGGGGCCCAGCTAAAGCTGGAGGTACGAGTCTGATATTGAATTAATTTGCTATACTTGTGCGGCACGAAAAAAGTGATATAAAAAATTGGACTTTGCCGAAAACCTTAGTTGTTTCAACTAAAATAAGTGAGAACAGTAAAAAAAAAATTGAGATTATCAATTTTCCCATGGAGACAACATTTGTCATACAAAACATTAAGGAGTCGCCGCTTCGGCAGGAACAACTATCACAACCAGTTCTTGTAATCAAACTTTTCATCTCAGATTTGATGGTGTAAATTTTAAGAACATACAGAAAGTTTTTTAAAAAACGGTCAAAGACTTTCCAAAATCCATAACTTTTGTCTGCAAAAAGCAAGTTCTGTCAGCTAAAGCAGAGAAGATTCCCAAAACTGGGTTTCTCATTTGAACACAATTTGATAATTGGTACGGACAAAAAAACTGTTAAAGATTGATCAGCAATCCAAAAAATTGACATTTCTGCGAGAATCATAGGTTTTTGTGTGAAAAATAGGGCGTAGCCGCTTATGCAGAGAAGATTCACACAACTTGTTTTTACATTGAATCCAAAAATTCAATTTTGCGAGGGTAGTTCTCAAAATAATCAAGAACTTACAAAAAAAACGGTCACAAGTCAAAATTTTGACTTTTCCGAGGGCCATAACTTTTGGTTGTCAGAAAAATTTGGAAAGAATTACATAAGCAAATTGCTTTTCGCAACACATTCTTTGAATTAAACCCAAAATCTCAAATATGACAGGGTAGTCATTGAAACCAGAACATCAGATTTGGAAGCCTGTTTTCGAGAAATGACAAAAAGATCCACAAAACGGTCAAAAATCATGAATTTGACTTTTCCCAGGATCATAACTCCATCTGGAAAACAAATTTGGACAAAGCCGCTTATGCAGGGAGCTTTCAAAACATCTATATTCCAATTTGATAATACTGCAAATCGCAAGCGTAATAAAATCGTAGTTTACCGAGCGGTCACAAAATGGTAACACGACCATTGATTCGAGTACAAAAAAGGCCATCAGAAATTGTTGTCATAAAAAATTTCGAACAATTAGTTTTTTAACTTTGCAGTCTTGCAATACAAACTACTTTTATTTCTCAAAAAGTAACTAAGCCGATAAAACAAACCGATACCTTTAGGCCGAGTAAAACATTTTAGCTAAAAAACCAAAACGAAAACAAACAACTTCAGGTCCATTAATTTTACTAATTACAGGCATAAATCAAAAACACTCGCATCTACGATGAAAATTGCTGGCAGCACAAAAAACCGCGATGTCTAAACTAAGCCGACAAAACAAGCAGACAAACGAAAATCCGACAGTTCAATTTTCCCGAACAAAAGGTAATTTACAATTTCATACATATTGAGAAAAATTTCCCACCGGTACTCGAACCCTAGACCTTAGGGTACAAACGCAAAAGCGTTGCGAAAGCAGTCTCGAAGTTACTATTCACTGGTAAAGCAACTGCACAATTTCTTAATAATGTGCAGGAATAGTTGTTTACGGGGGAAAAAGTCTACCCGATTACAAGACACTCGCCCTCGTAAGAATAAAGAAGTTCCGATTTCTTAGGGCTTGCTAATCGCAAGCGGAAACTAGCCACCTATAAATGTAACACATGCGATTAAATTGCCAATTCTTAAACTATATGCAGCAAAAGCGCCACCAATAAGTGGAACTAATTTACACAGAGGCGAAGCTGCCATTCTGAAACAAAGGCGAAAAACTCAAAGAAATAGCTGTAAAAATTTCAAAAAAAATTAAAGACAAGAAAAAAATAAGTAATAACTAGCTCTAAAATGACCTCTACTGGATTCGAACCTCAATAATCACCCAAGTACTAAAGTCAATTTCCGTACAGACCTGTGCCTCTAGAGCATCGAGAAAGCAAACACTAGCCACTAATAACTTTGAGAAACATGATATTAAACTGCCAATACTATGTCATTTGCAAATACTATTTATTTGCGCACATTTATTTGCGAGTTGGGTTGGAAAAGTAGAGTTCATAATATGACAACACTCGCTAGTTCGCTTGTGTTCTCTAATGAGATTTGGGTGAGAAATTAGTGGCCATGTATCATAACACAAGCGTCTGCTTGAGCAAAAAGTAAAAACCCTGGAAAACTAGTTAAGTTTGAGGCAGTAATGTCGCCAGCAAAATTTCTATCTTCTCACACAAGCCTTCGATCTAGGACCAACTTCTTACTCAAGCACTCGAAGTCCAGAGGAATAAGTTACTGCGAATGTGTTACTTTTTTAATACTTCAACCCGCACGACTGAAGACGTTACAGCTAGTATATTATGCTTAGAAACCTGTTTCAATTAAATCCTTCCCATAACATCCGGCTTATATCAGTTTTGAAATCCTTTTCAACCAACCTTGCTCTAAATTATGTAACCTATATACGCAAATAATTAACCTAATTCACATTATCACGCTTCCTAAGTAGATTTATGAGGAAATGAGACTCAGGACTGTAACAAAAAATATTTAATTCAGCGCTCCCTCAAAATGTAAAAACTGAGCATATCTATAACGTCAAACTCTCCATAGAAGTCATTCAATAATCAGTGGATTTTTTTTCAAGATACAATAGTTTACGAATGCCTCCTTAAAGTTTTCATTGAACTTCTCATGCTCGACTTTCTATCTCGCGGTCAAAAAGATATCTCATCAATTGCAATTCTAATCTGCAGCTGCAGTTAAACTTCTTTCGCTGATGATTTCTTCGGTTTATTTTTTGCAAACTTTTTCTTCAACGCCTCGACGTCTATCTTCGGCTTTTTCTCTCCTTCTGTTTTATTTGCATCAGTTGCAGGTTTGTATTCTTTTTCTTTTGGCGGTTGAAAAGATTTCAATTTTTTAGCTTTCTTCTGAGTGACTACTTCAGTCTGTGTTTCTAGCTTGGCTTTTCTTTTCAACTGCTTTCGTTCCTTCTCCATCAAAAACCATTCTCCTGTCTCAATTTCGACATCTTCCTTTCTTTTTGGCTGTTCTGGGGGGAATGGGTTGTATTCTTTCTTTTGCTTCACTTTAAACGGTTTCTTGCGTTTACTCAAAGTTTTACTTTTAAAATTAGGTACAAATCTATCCCAACTTTCGTTCGCCATGTTCGGGTCCTTCATCAACTCGTTCTGAATCATAAGGCGTTTAATGTTGTAAATTGGATGGATGTTCTTCATACAATCTTCGACTATTTTACGGCAATGTTGCAATCCTTTGTGCGGCCCCATAACAGACACAGTGCTGCCTAAAACACAATTACTTGGTTTATTTAGTTTCTCAACTGAACCTGAAAACAGAGCTTCGCATCACTTGCGATACAACCCAAGCGATGTATTGCAAACTAGCGAATTGAAAATCAGACGGAATTTAAAATTTTTTTTTGAAAACCAAAAAAACTCAGAGGACGACGTGAAGCGATTGAGACTGAGATTAATCCGTCGGATCGAGTGCAACCCCATTGTGTTGTAGTTGAAATACCACGCATATGGTAGAAGTGGACGTAAGGACGCAAGTGACCTTGATTGATCAACCGTTTTCGGTTTTTAAGTGTCTGATAGATCGTATGATCTAACTTTGCATTTAGTCTCTACCTAAATGCAAAGAGACTCGTTCTACAGATAATATACCTGCATTCATTTATAAATCCTGTCACAGCATTCTTTCTCCGCTTGCTTCTTTCCTTTTCTTATCCATTATACAATCTTGTGTTTGGCCCGATTCCTGGAAAACTGCATTCATCACTCCTGTTTTCAAATCTGGTTCTCCTTATGATATTACCAATTATCGGCCAGTTAGCATACTTCCTCCTCTTTCACTCATTTTCGAGCGTATTTTGTTCAATTATATTTACCCTCGAGTTCGATACAAAATTTCGAATGCTCAGCATGGATTCCGCAAGAAGCGTTCCACCATAACGCAAATGCTCTCATATCTAGATGAAGTATATCACACTCATGATGCCAAAATTCCTTGCGCTGCCATGAATTTCGATTTTAGCAAAGCTTTCGATTCTGTCAGGCACGGCATTATTGTACAGAAGTTTGCTGCTTTTGGTTTTGACGATATTTTTACCACTCTTTTGATTTCTTATCTTGCAAACCGTTTTCAATGTGTTAAAGTTCGAACAAGCATTTCCACCACTTTACCAGTTACTAGTGGTGTACCTCAAGGGAGCGTACTGGGTCCTCTGCTTTTCCTTTTGTTTATTAATGATCTTCCTGATATATTTAATCATTCAAACTGTTTTCTTTTCGCTGATGACTCAAAACTCATTTGTAAGACAAATTGCAGTGATTTACAGTCTGATGTGGACAGTTTCACTCATTGGTGTACTCAGAATGGTCTTAAGATCAATAAGACAAGTGCAATTTCATTATATTCAATGGCAAATTTCCTGATTGTATTTTTGTTAACAACCAACCTGTTCATTCTATTAATTTACTCAAAGACCTTGGTCTGCTTGTTTGCTCTGATCTTACTTGGTCAGACCATATTAGTAAAAAACTTCTATCGAGCAATAAAAGCTTTCATTTTATCAAACGTTCTATTCCATATCACATTCCACTTTCTGTTAAACTCATGTTCATCAATACTTGTGTTAAAAGTATTTTATTGTATGCTAGTCCTGTGTGGTCTCCCTCTTTAACTATGTTAAGGAAGCTTGAGAACTTCAACAGGAAATGTCTTACCTGGGTTACAGGTCATTTATCTTATTTAAAGCAACTTTCTTTAACGAATTCGCTTCCCATCTCCTTCACGCTTATATTTAACGACCTTATCCTTTTCCACAAAATGTTAAATGGCAACTCAGAACTCCCTTTTGCTGCGTATTATTATTTTACGGTGACGACATCAAGATCCAGCGCGTTGATGACAGTGAAAACCGCAAGAAGATGGTCAACCGAGACTTTCTTCACCCACAGAACAGCACGTGCCGTGAACTACATGCTGAAAACAACGGAGATCGACTTTTTCACCTCTTTGCGCCGTTTTCGCAGTACCCTCAAAGACTTCTTACTAGAGCGCTCTAAACTCTTCAATCGTGAAAACTCATGCACTTGGTTTTTGAAGTGCCGTTGCTCTTTCTGTAGATCTTAGTTTTTAACATATATTTGTTCATCTATTTATATAAATTTTGCCTTATTTTTAATAAGGGAATTAATTCTTTTTTTGTTTGTTTTTTTTGTTGTTGTTGTTTGTTTGAACTGCTGTCTAAACACTCTAGGAGCGAACTAGAAGCCATGGTTAGTGAGAACTTGGTAAATTTGAAAGAAAGGGATGTGAGAGAAAACGACAGAATCATTATGGAGATGGAAACACTTGGAATCTTCAGGGAAAAATAGGATATGGTGTTATCCAACGATAGGAACTGCAGTGTTGTTTTGGGATTTTGAAATAACTGAATTGGTTCTTAGCTTTCTTTGCTCTGAACGTATTTAGTTCAATTATAAGCGAAAGCTATGTAAGCTCCATTCGCTTGATGGCCCACAAACTGACATGAGTTTGTCGACCCTTGAATAGACCAAAATTAACAGGCTTTCCATCGCTGTGTAAATTTGAGATAAACGTTTCAGAAGATAGACTTCCCGGCATTAATGACTGTAACCCCATGATAGTGAAAATCCGATGATAATAATATAAGCCCAATGATAAGAAATCAAAACTACAATTTTTTAGCGTTGTATACTCCATACGCCTTAATTTTGCAGCTAGATAAAATGGAAAGTTGAGTTTTACCTTGAACAAGCACATAACATCCTGTCAGCAGCTCAATAGCTTTTAGATGTGTTCCTTCAGCTCCTACGATTCTTTGCCTCCGTTTGATAAATCTTGCTTTATTTCTAACCATTCCTCCTATCTTGATTACATCGCAGTACATCTCATCGTCCATAATTTTAGTAGCCTGCTCATAAGGCACACTTCTGGATAAAAGCTTGATAAAATCTCTTCCACGAAGTATGGCATATGGGTCCCATGTTTTCCTGGTTGTTTCAACTAACAAAGAACCTTTCAGCAGATCAAGCGTTGCACGAATGCCGAAGGGTTCTAAGCGTTTCTGAACTAATGGCCAACATTCTCGCAGATATTTTTCTCGATATTTTGGAAAAAGTGTAGAAAACGAGCTCTTCTCTAATAAGCCACTAGGGTTGTCATCTTTTGTAAATACTGGTTCTTTCCAGCCAACTGGTACAGTCAGATCATCTGTCAATTTATGCCCGTCTTCCTTAGGATCTTCTAACAGAAGATCGTCTAAATTTCCACCGGGCATTTATTTTTTGTCAAATCTAAAATTGAGGTCGGAAAAATGTTGAACACCAACTAGGTCTACCAAAAATTAAATTTTCGCATTTTTCGATAAAAATTCATTTTAGACAAACGAGCCATGCATAAGAATATAGATCTAGCAACAGAAAAAACTTACGAAGAGCAAAACCGACACTCTTTACACAGAGCACAAGAAAACTCTAATGAAAGTAGCACATGTGAAGGAGGACGAGGACGAACAAGATGAGTTCGAATCGCAACTAAGTCTCAACAGCTCGACTCAGGAGAATGGTGCACCCACCAACAGGGGAACTGAATCTTCGAAACGATTTGCTGTGGTCAGGACAAGAAACAAGACCATAGATGCATCACAGCAATCAAGAGTTTGTGACCATTACCAATCCGGAAAAGCAACCTGGAGATAAAAATTGAATTTTCGCATGTTTCGATAAAAACTCATTCTAGACAAACCAGCCATGCATAAGAATATTGATCTAGCAACATAAAAAACATGCGAAGAGCAAAGCCGACACTCTTTGCACAGATCACGAGAAAACTCTAATGAAAGTAGCACCTGTGCCAATCGGTCATATTCTGAAGTTTTATCTTGATTTTGGGTGAAACGGTAATTTTTGAAAAATTCAAATTGCCCATGTCATGCTCACGTTCATCGCATCAACTGAAATAAGAAGTCAATAAAATCAGAAGATTCGTGTTACAATAGCGGGAAAATGGACACAAAAGTCAAACTGGAGACAAATTGCTATTCACAATTTGTCTAATATTAACCGTCAATTCGAGTAGAGCAATCGTGTTCCTGATAAAGAACATCGTGAGTTTCTACGAGAGTGTCACCACTGGAAAAAACAACAACTTTGATTGGGAAGGAACACGAGTGAGGTCCAGACGATAAAACTACTCGAGTTAAATTAGTTATTTCCTCAAAGTTCCAGTGTTGCTTCAATTACATTATTTACTCAATTCTAGAGTCATATTACAATGTGAGCACTGAATTTAATTTCTTGATTGAATTTTACAGACACGTGGAGATAAGGCGGGTTTATTTTGATCCATCTGAAATGGATCAACCGTCCACTGACTATGAAAACTAACTGTATACTTGAGTTTGAACTCTGTTTTTAACTGAAGAAATTTTTGCTAAAAAATAAATTTCGAAAGTTTTCGCAACTATGTGCATCGTCAGGATTTTTACAATAAACTAATCTAAATGACGATAAAACTTCATTTTACAAATGTTTTTTACTATAAATCACATACAATTTGGTTCTAAACCATCATGATAAAAAATTAGCCAATCACAGTTGAATAAGAATTTTTTAAAATTGTTAATTCAAACGTTTTCGCACATTTTGTGCATCGTCAGGATATAAAATTTTTTATTTACAATAAAATGATCAAAGATCATGTATGAAATTCAAAAAGAACATGTTAAAAATTTTTAACCAATCACATTCTTACATCTGTTATTACGTAATCATTATTTCATCGATTATGACAATTTCCATACTTTTTTGTTACTTGAGTCATAATTTTTCGATTTGATGTTTTATCCAAACTGACATGTCAGTTTATTTTTTCAAAAATTTTAATTTTTAGTCATGTTTAAACGTACTATAATTTTAATGTCAGCTCCCTGCTCCTGAACTCCTCGCGCGTGTTAATTCTGGGGCGTTCTTTCCAAATATGTAAGGCCTCCAGAGTGAGGAGTTTCTGTATGTTACTTGATTGATCTATAATCTCAGACTTAAGCTCAGCGCTCTTACCATCCCTGTCACATTCTCTCAAATGTTGCCCTACTGGCGAATCTTCCTTATGATGCTCTTCAATCCGCGTGGTCAAATGCCGGACCGTTTGTCCAACATAGGTGGAATTACATCCACTACATGTGAGCTTGTAGACCACTCTGGATTTCAAATCTTTCGCAAAGGGAGATTTAAGGGACGGTAGGCAAGTCTTGAGCTTTCTCGTAGTAAATATCACTTGGGCTCCGGCGTTTTGACGCAGTTTGGCAGCAAACCACTCCGATGCATTACCCCGGTATTGTAATGTTATAATGGGTGCACTGACCTTTAAAGGATCTTCCTTGACTGATGTTACCGTTGTTCGTGTGTCAGTTTTTCGGTCGATGATCTTATTCAACGTTCTTAATACGACACCATCTGACCATTTTTCAGGGTATTGATTATCCACCCATTGTTCTTTATTAATCTTCATTGTCTTGTCAAAGTTTTCCCATGTTGATGTACTTCTAAAAATCCGATGAACAGTACCCTCAACTACATTGCGTTTATATTGCAATGGAGCGCAGCTTCTGAAGTTAAGGATAGTCCCAGTATCCGTTGGTTTTTGATACCATCCACATGTTACCTTTTTTCGTGAGTCCACATTAATGTTCAAACCTAGAAAGGCTAAGTCTCCGTTCGAATCCGGATTTTCGATAGTGAATTGTAAGTTGGGGTGGAGCTCATTAGCTGCTTTATTACTATATCTGGATCCCCCTTTACCGTCCTCACTATATCATCTACATATCTTAGGAACGCTTTGACATTTTCTGTTGGTTTTTCTTGATCTCGCTGCTCTTTACATCTCTTACAATACCAAACCATTTCTGAGATTTGCTCATATTCTTTGTCGGATACATTACTACACTTTAAATGGTACCAATTTAAAAAAGCTTCGCATTCGATCCCCTTACTTCTGTATGTTACCCTCCGCTCGCAATCAGGGCATAGGCCATTCCGGTTTTCATCTAGCTGTGTCAACGCAGGTACTTCCTTCATTAATGCATATTCGTACTCTTTTAGCCATAAATTGGCAAGAATGACAGCAAGGGATGCACCCATTGCCAACCCATCCTTTTGTACGTACCATAAACCATTGCATTTGAAGTGCACCTTACTTACAGCCATGTTCAACAATTTCTTCATAGTTCCGCGTGCCAGTTTAGGGAGACTAGTTTGTTCGTACAGTTTCCTCAGTGCTATATCTATTGCCTCCTTTAGTGGGACATTAGTCTACAAACTTTTGACATCCAGGGAGATAATACTCTCATCATAGTCTAGATCTATGTTCTCTATGATCTCCCGAGCCATTTGTGTGTTTGTCTCAATGTTTGCCCCCTCAATATTGTCAAAAAATTTGGCCAAAGTTTTATTTAGATGTTCATATGAGCTCCCTGGCAGTGACAGTACGGGACGGAGAGGGGTTCCTTTCTTATGTACTTTAGCCAATCCATTTAATCGAGCTGGCTGCCCTCCCGTGGACCTAAGCCTACTATACAGTGCCTCATCGATCTCATCTTTCTTTTTCATGGCCAACAGTTCTTTGTTGATGTCTTTCTCAATTTTCATAACAAAACTATCAGTTAAACCTGGTTTTTCGCTAAATTGTTCCGATTGCAGCAGCTCAGTTAGTTTAGCCTCATATTTCTTCATTACACAGAAGCCAACACCTTTATCGAATGGGACTGCCAAGAGACCATTGTCCTTCAAATACTTCCTGGCTTTCTCAATCCCTCTATCCGACGGTGTTTGCCGCACACGTTTAGCGTATGATTTTGCAGCAGCTTCAATTTCACATAATTTTTCACCTGGTACCTTTTGCGATTTAAGCTCAGATAAAAAATTATCAATGTCCGCAAGAAAGTGAAGTTCATTGAAACGATCCCTCACCGGGTGCTTTGGGCCAAAACCTAACACTTCATGAACCCACTTGGGTAGCTCAATACCATCTAGTGCTCTGACCGATTTGTCATTCACTTTCATTAACGGTCTGTCCTGCCGCTCTGCTAGCTTTTTTATTTTCTTCTCATGTCTATCCTTGATGTCATGGATAGCAATTCTAGCCTGGAGCTTTAGATAAAATGCTATTGAGGGCCACCATTGTTCATCTATCCCTCTCCGCACTACCTCTCTTGCCTTAGCTAGGTCATCGTCTATCTTCTTCTCTTCTGACCTTGCCTGATTTATCTCTGTTCTTAGGAGTTTTAATTGAAAGCTATGCACCGCTTGGTCCGAAAAAAACCCATTTTCTGGCACCCGAAATCTCAAAAAATCTGGTATTATGTCATTGCTTTGACATTTCCGTAAAAACTTCAATCGATGGAAATTGTTGTTTAATTTATTTGAATACTTCAGGTAATTCAAAACTAATTTTCAAGTTTGTTTTTTCCTGAGTATCCATCTCAGCATCGGTGGGGGCAAAACTACGGCGGTCATTATCCTGCAGGCCACGAGCACTTAAACTCATGCGGCTCTCAGCAGGATAATTCACACAGTAGATTCACTTACCCAATCCGCGCCCTTTCAGCCGATGGTAGAGAGATGTCAGTCGTTGTTTCCTCTCTGCGTGCCTTCGCCTTGCGTCGTCCTTGTGATGGTTTCTGAGTCCGCGCTCTTATCTTTGAGAATATCCCGGGCAAGTTCTCTCTATGTGTCAGCACAACTCGCAATGACTTCAACTCAAGTTCGCTCGATTGATGAACTTCCAGGTATTGTCTCACCAAAGCGGGATCCTGCCTCTTGCCTCTCGAGATCAATTTCGTTGTTGGGACTATCGAGATCCCTGTACGCATCAGAGAATCAAAGATATCTGTCGTTCTGGTTCTTCTGCAATATATAATCGCCTTAAACCGATGTCGCTTTGATTGCAAATACGTAATTAAATCGTCCAGAGGATAAAGCGTGTTGGCATTGGTTCGGTGTTTCGACAAACTGTTATTCAATACGTCGTGCCAAAGAATTATCTCCTTGTCCACCAGAGGATGCTCTTCCAGAAGAGTCTGTAAATTTTGTCTCTTCCTCACGGTATGAGGATTCAGCGATAATCCCGATTCAGCGTATACCAGTTCGTCCAGTTCCTCTTTCTCTGCTGGTCGTAAGGTATTCAAGCTATGAAATAGAGAGCTTGCAGCTACAACCCTATTAGGATTAAAATACTTTTAACCTCTAAAATTAATTAAACATTTTAAAATTAATTTGTCTGGAAGCTTCTGAGTCATAATTTCGATTTAGACATGTAAGTTTTAAATAAAAAACCAAAAAGATTTTGGGACTAAATTTTCAGTGTTAACTCCCTGCTCCTAAACTCATCGGGCGTGTTCAAGCCCGGTTTCTCTTTCCTGCTATGTATTGCCTTTAGTGTTAACAATTGTGTTTGGTTGTTTAACCTATCTATAATTTCCCAACTAAGATCTGCGCTATTTCCCTCAAGTTGGCATTGCTGAAGGTGGAGGCCTACCGGTGAGTGTGCTTTCTTATTTTCCTCAATTCTAGTGGTCAAATGTCGAACAGTTTGTCCGACATAGGTGGAAGTGCATCCACTACATGACAGTTTATAAACTCTTGACTTGAGGTCAATAGAAAATGCTGACTTCACTCATGGTAAACATGATTCTAGTTTTCTTGAGGTGAAAACCACTTGAGCGTTAGTTAATTTTTGTAACCTGTTAGCAAAATATTGGCTCTGGTTACCTCTATATTGCATGATCAGCATTGGGGGCTTCCCATCCTTTGGTGATTGAACTGACAAACACCTCTCACTATCCAAGGGCTTGCCCTTACCCTCGATGATCTTGCACAAGGCGTCTGAAGCCACGTTTGCAGACCAATTTTCAGGGTACTGATTTATCAGCCATCGCGCCCTATTAGTTTCCATAGCCTTATCAAATTGCTCCCAGCTAGATGTA